GCTCTCTCGGCAAAAGCGAAAGGAGGAGCAACTTGCCATTTGGATATATCTTAGCTGTGTTTGTGCCCTCACTCATGGTCCAGACTTTTTTCAAATAGGACATGGAGTTTTTCTGCAGCGGGATTTTTGGTAGAAACTGCGCCTCCCGTTCATTATAATGGTAAATGACCACAAACAAGTGCGCACACCATCTTTGGACCTTGAGTGTGACGCGATCGGGTGGGGGAGGCGGTCGCGCTGGGGGCGGCGTGACACGGCTCGGGCCCGCCAGTGCCCCAACGGGGCCCTAGTTCTTTCTTTCTTTCTTCTTTTTCCTCCCCTTTGAACTGGAAAATGGCCCACTTCCCACTGGCGAAAACTCATGAAATTTGGCAGGACGACCGGGCCTGGTGAAAAATTCGATATTCTGAAGTCGCCCAAACAATAAAATGCAAAATGGCTCCATAGCGCCCCCTAAGGTGGAAATTCACACTATTGACTGTCACGCCTGTACGCTTTGTCATATTGACACAAAAATTGACACACATATGTATCTCAATAAGATCTACAAAAAAGTCAGTGCGGCCGTATCTGTCAAAATTACGGTTAAAGGGTTATTTCGCATTTTTTGGTGATCCGCACACATTGGAATTTCGCTAACTCCTCCGAAGGCTTTCGTTCCACCGGCACCACATTTGCTCAGGCCAATCTACACCCCGTGGCCATTAAAAGTTATCAAAATCATGACGCTGCACCGCAAGGTTTAGGTTCTAGGGGGCGCCAAAGATAACACTAAAATCCACATATTTAAAAGTCTTATAACTTTTTATTTTTGTCCTCACTGGCCTCCAAGTTTTCTAGGATGATGCAATGTCCAGCCATCAACACATTTGTGAAGGAATGTTTACTCCCCAAAAGAGCGCCCCCCCATGGCAGGAGAAAAAAGTCCATTTTTTCTTGTCCCCTAAGGTGAAAATACACATTGTTGAGTGTCACGCCTATACGCTTTGTCAAAATGACACAAAAATTGACACACACATGTAACTCAATAAGATCTACAAAAAAGTCCATGCGCGCATATCTGTCAAATGTACAGTTAAAGGGTTATTCCGCATTTTTTGCCGATACGCACACATTGGAATTTCGCTAACTCCTCCGAAGGCTTTCGTTCCACCGGCACCACATTTGCTCAGGCCAATCTACACCCCATGGCCATTAAAAGTTATTCAAATCATGATGCTGCACCCCATGGTTTAGGTTCTAGGGGGTGCCAAAAATAACCCAAAAATCCACATTCTTAAATGTTTTATAACTTTTTATTTTTGTCCTCACTGGCCTCCAAGTTTTCTAGGATGATGCAATGTCCAGCCATCAACACATTTGTGAAGGAATTTTTACTCCCCAAAAGAGCGCCCCCCCATGGTAGGAGAAAAAAGTCAATTTTTTCTTGTCCCCTTACATAAAAATACACATTGTTGAGTGTCACGCCTGAACGCTTTGTCATATTGACACAAAAATTGACAATCATGTGTATCTCAATTAGATCTACGAAAAAGTCAAAGAGCGCGTATCTGTATAATGTACGGTTAAAGGGCTATTTTGCATTTTTTGCCGATTCGCACACATTGGAATGTGGCTATCTCCTCCTAAGGCTTTCGTCCCACCGATACCAAATTTGCTCAGGGCAATCTACACCCCATGCCCATTCAAAGTTGTAAAAATCATGACGCTGCACCCCACGGTTTACGTTCTAGGGGGCGCCAAAGATGACCCAAAAATCCACATTCTTAAAAGTCATTTTGGCCACTGCAGGAGTACAGAGTACTGCAGTTCTAGGGGGCGCCAAAGATGACCCAAAAATCCACATTCTTAAAAGTCTTTTTGGCCACTGCAGGAGTACAGAGTACTGCAGGATACACACACATATACACACACGCCAACATACACACACACACACACACACACACACACACACACACACACACACACACACACACACACAGACACACACACACACTCAGAGTCTGTTTTTTAGCACCTGCAAAAACATGCTGTTTACATATTTGACAAGAATGCAGAGGCTTCCTTTTGCCCCTGAAAAAAATCAAATTTCAAACACAACTTGACTGTTCATTTCTCCAAAAGACAACCATGAAGCTCCATTTCAAACCTGAAGCAGATAGTTGGTGCATGTGTACAGTAACCTGAGGGGAGTGAGGTGACTATTTCTGAGGAGAACATGAGCAGTGAAGATTCACCTTGGAGCTAGAACAGGGACGTGCACATGATTATACAGGGGCAGGGGCTCAAGTTTTTTCCAGTCATTTATACAATATGGAAATTAATGTGAAATTAAACCACAAATATGTGTGATGAACTGTTTTTAAAACTTAAACTTCAAATAAAAATTGTAAACTTCAAAACATATGCAAATTTTTAACAAAGAACATAGTAATTTACCTCTATTTACATCAAAATGCAGGCAATGGCCCAGGCGTTCTTTGTAAAATTATTTACAAAACACTGTATAGTCTCACAAATGTCACTTTTTATTTATGCCACTACAAAAAAACATGATGTAAATGATGCATGATGTAAAACATGATGTAAAAAACTTGTGTAGATCCTCCTCTATGTCAGTCCATGTGTAATTTTTCCATAATTCTTTGTTTTTTGCAGCATTTTTGTTAGTGTAACTGCAGATTGTGCTGACAGTGTCTATGGCACAAAAAAAAAAAAAATTAAAATGCCTCAACATGAACCCCTGGTGGTCTCTGAGGGTGAAACCTGCTAACTGCTGCAGCTCTGTCAGCTTCAGTCTCCCATGCAGAGCTCTGAGCGCATGTGTGGCTTGCACCCTTAGCAGCGTTGCTAACTCCTCAGTAAGGAAAGCCTGCTTCATGTCAGAGTCTCTAAACTCCAGAAGAAGTCGATAAAAGTCCCTTTCTTTCTAAAAAAAAGTCGTTAGGGGGTCTGAAAAGTCATTGAATCTAACAACAAAGTCGCTAGGTTTGCAACTACGTGTCCCAGACTGCATCCCTGCTGAGAGTCCCTCCCTCCCTTCTCATGTTGCAGGAAGAACGTAAGCGCCCGCCCCTTGTCAATCAGTCACCATATAATTTTGGATTGGTTGTTGTGGTGAAGTTTTCCACCAATAGGAGAGATGTTGTGGTGTGTTTTTTTTTTCTTTTGGCAAGCCTTTTCCGCCTGTAAGACCTGTCGCTAATGTCTGCATGCTATGTTTTCCTGTCTCATACAGCGCGATCGAGCGCCGAACGTGATCAAAATAAGCAGAAAACAAGTATCGCGGACATAATTTATCATAACTCTGGTTTTATTTGGCCTATCAACACAATTTAAAAACTGGTATATAGGTTGAGGTCCTCACTTTTGAGATAAGTTGAAACGGAGAGTCAACGAGGCTCCGTCTTGCAGCTACATCCGGTTAAATATGTCATGTGACTTGAACGCACACATAGACACACACACACTCACACACACACACACACACACACACACACACACACACACACACACACACACACACACACACACTCAGAGTCTGGTTTTTAGCACCTGCAAAAACATGCTATTTACATATTTGACAAGAATGCAGAGGCTCGTTTTGCCCCTGAAAAAAATCAAATTTCAAACACAACTTGACTGGTCATTTCTCCAAAAGACAACCATGAAGCTCCATCCAAACCTGAAGCAGGCAGTTGGTGCATGTGTACAGTAACCTGAGGGGAGTGAGGTGAGTGCTTCTGAGGAGAACATGAGCAGCGAAGATTCACCTTGGAGCTAGAACAGAGACATGCACATGATTATACAGGGGCAGGGGCTCAAGTTTTTTCCAGTCGTCTATACAATATGGAAATTAATGTGAAATTAAAACACAAAGTATTAATAGAAAGGTAATGACTGTCCTGTGTAGGTGACAGTGATATCCAATAGGCTAGGCACTCACGAGGCTGGCTGTGGCAAGTGTAAGTGAAAGCAACACGCACTGGCAGGAAGAACAGCAAACGCCGATGAAGGAAAAGGGTCTTTGCAGTGATGGGCGTTAACAGAGAGGGCGATGGCCAGAGGACACAAATGGGACGGGAAGGCAGCACGTTGGGGGCGGGGGGGGGGAGACGCGACACGGCTCGGGCCCGCCAGTGCCCCAACGGGGTCCTAGTGTTATTATTATTTTTCCTCCCCTTTGAACTGGAAAATGGCCCACTTCCCACTGGCGAAAACTCATGAAATTTGGCAGGACGACCGGGCCTGGTGAAAAATTTGATATTCCGAAGTCGCCCAAACAAGAAAATGCAAAATGGCTCCATAGCGCCCCCTAAGGTGAAAATTCACACTATTGACTGTCACGCCTGTACGCTTTGTCAAAATGACACAAAAATTGACACACACATGTATCTCAATAAGATCTACAAAAAAGTCAGTGCGGGCGTATCTGTCAAATGTACGGTTAAAGGGTTATTTCGCATTTTTTGCCGATCCGCACACATTGGAATTTCGCTAACTCCTCCGAAGGCTTTCGTTCCACCGGCACCACATTTGCTCAGGCCAATCTACACCCCATGGCCATTAAAAGTTATTCAAATCATGACGCTGCACCCCACGGTTTAGGTTCTAGGGGGCGCCAAAGATAACCCTAAGATCCACATATTTAAAAGTCTTATAACTTTTTATTTTTGCCCTCACTGGCCTCCAAGTTTTCTAGGATGATGCAATGTCCAGCCATCAACACATTTGTGAAGGAATTTTTACTCCCCAAAAGAGCGCCCCCCCATGGCAGGAGAAAAAAGTCCATTTTTTCTTGTCCCCTAAGGTGAAAATACACATTGTTGAGTGTAACACCTGTACGCTTTGGCAAAATGACACAAAAATTGACACACACATGTATCTCAATAAGATCTACGAAAAAGTCAATGCGCGCGTATCTGTCAAATGTACGGTTAAAGGGTTATTCCGCATTTTTTGCCGATCCGCACACATTGGAATTTCGCTAACTCCTCCGAAGGCTTTCGTTCCACCGGCACCACATTTGCTCAGGCCAATCTACACCCCATGGCCATTAAAAGTTATTCAAATCATGACGCTGCACCCCACGGTTTAGGTTCTAGGGGGCGCCAAAGATAACCCTAAAATCCACATATTTAAAAGTCTTATAACTTTTTATTTTTGTCCTCACTGGCCTCCAAGTTTTCTAGGATGATGCAATGTCCAGCCATCAACACATTTGTGAAGGAATTTTTACTCCCCAAAAGAGCGCCCCCCCATGGCAGGAGAAAAAAGTCAATTTTTTCTTGTCCCCTAAGGTGGAAATTCACACTATTGAGTGTCACGCCTGTACGCTTTATCATATTGACACAAAATTTGACAATCACATGTATCTCAATAAGATCTACAAAAAAGTCAATGCGCGCGTATCTGTCAAATGTACGGTTAAAGGGCTATTTTGCATTTTTTGCCGATTCGCACACATTGGAATGTGGCTAACTCCTCCTAAGGCTTTCGTCCCACTGACACCAAATTTGCTCAGGCCAATCTACACCCCATGGTCATTCAAAGTTGTAAAAATCATGACGCTGCACCCCACGGTTTACGTTCTAGGGGGCGCCAAAGATGACCCAAATATCCACATTCTTAAAAGAATCCACATCCCCCCCCCCCATCCCCCAACCCCCATGGCAGGAGAAACAGTCAAGTTTTTCCTGCCCATCACTCAATGGCTCAATCGCATCACTCTCCCGGCAACACCGTAACAAGGAGCAACTTGCCGTTTGGATATATCCTAGCTGTGTTTGTGCCCTCACTCATGGTCCAGACTTTTTTCAAATAGGACATGTAGTTTGTCTGCAGCGAGTGTTTTGGTAGAAACTGCGCCTCCCATTCATTATAATGGGAAATGACCACAGACAAGTGCGCACACCATCTTTGGACCTTGAGTGTGACGCGATCGGGAGGGGGAGGCGGTCGCGCTGGGGGCGGCGCAACGCGGCTCGGGCCCGACAGTGCCCCACCGGGGCCCTAGTCTTTGTTTCTTTAGGGCCCGAGCGTAGCTGCTAAGCAGCTGCGAGAGCCCTATTATTCCCCAAGGGGTTTTTCTTTGTTTCTTTTTTCTTTTTCCTCCCCTTTGAACTGGAAAATGGCCCACTTCCCACTGGCGAAAACTCATGAAATTTGGCAGGACGACCGGGCCTGGTGAAAAATTTGATATTCCGAAGTCGCCCAAACAAGAAAATGCAAAATGGCTCCATAGCGCCCCCTAAGGTGAAAATTCACACTATTGAGTGTCACGCCTGTACGCTTTGTCAAAATGACACAAAATTTGACACACACATGTATCTCAATAAGATCTACAAAAAAGTCAGTGCGGGCGTATCTGTCAAATGTACGGTTAAAGGGTTATTTCGCATTTTTTGCCGATCCGCACACATTGGAATTTCGCTAACTCCTCTGAAGGCTTTCGTTCCACCGGCACCACATTTGCTCAGGCCAATCTACACCCCATGGCCATTAAAAGTTATTCAAATCATGACGCTGCACCCCACGGTTTAGGTTCTAGGGGGCGCCAAAGATAACCCTAAAATCCACATATTTAAAAGTCTTATAACTTTTTATTTTTGCCCTCACTGGCCTCCAAGTTTTCTAGGATGATGCAATGTCCAGCCATCAACACATTTGTGAAGGAATTTTTACTCCCCAAAAGAGCGCCCCCCCATGGCAGGAGAAAAAAGTCCATTTTTTCTTGTCCCCTAAGGTGAAAATACACATTGTTGAGTGTCACGCCTGTACGCTTTGTCAAAATGACACAAAAATAGACACACACATGTATCTCAATAAGATCTACAAAAAAGTCCATGCGCGCGTATCTGTCAAATGTACGGTTAAAGGGTTATTCCGCATTTTTTGCCGATTCGCACACATTGGAATTTCGCTAACTCCTCCGAAGGCTTTCGTTCCACCGGCACCACATTTGCTCAGGCCAATCTACACCCCATGGCCATTAAAAGTTATTCAAATCATGACGCTGCACCCCACGGTTTACGTTCTAGGGGGCGCCAAAGATAACCCAAAAATCCACATTTTTAAAAGTCTTATAACTTTTTATTTTTGCCCTCACTGGCCTCCAAGTTTTCTAGGATGATGCAATGTCCAGCCATCAACACATTTGTGAAGGAATTTTTACTCCCTAAAAGAGCGCCCCCCCATGGCAGGAGAAAAAAGTCCATTTTTTCTTGTCCCCTAAGGTGAAAATACACATTGTTGACTGTCACGCCTGTACGCTTTGGCAAAATGACACAAAAATTGACAATCATGTGTATCTCAATTAGATCTACGAAAAAGTCAAAGAGCGCGTATCTGTATAATGTACGGTAAAAGGGCTATTTTGCATTTTTTGCCGATTCGCACACATTGGAATTTCGCTAACTCCTCCTAAGGCTTTCGTCCCACTGACACCAAATTTGCTCAGGCCAATCTACACTCCATGGCCATTCAAAGTTGTAAAAATCATGACGCTGCACCCCACGGTTTACGTTTTAGGGGGCGCCAAAGATGACCCAAATATACATTACAGTAGACAAAGTAGTTTTGCCCACTGAGTGGCGCCAAAGGGACTTGTCTGTGGAGTCTGTGAGTCACTATTGGCCGTTTTTGACTACTTTAGATTTTACCTTTATATTTCCTCTTACAAAATTTTTACCTTGCCTTGCCTGGTATCATTTTTTTCAGCACAACCTCACCTGTGTCAATTTACAGTTATTTTATCATTTTGACATACTATATTTGCACATTGGACCCAAATTCACACACAAAACATAAAATCCGAGTGGAAAAAAGTAACGTTTTTACTGTGAAAACCACAAATATGTGTGATGAACTGTTTTTAAAACTTAAACTTCAAATTAAAATTGTAAACTTCAAAACATATGCACATTTTTAACAAAGAACATAGTAATTTACCTCTATTTACATCAAAATGCAGGCAATGGCCCAGGTGTTCTTTGTAAAATTATTTACAAAACACTGTATAGTCTCACAAATGTCACTTTTTATTTATGCCACTACAAAAAAACATGATGTAAATGATGCATGATGTAAAACATGATGTAAAAAACTTGTGTAGATCCTCCTCTATGTTAGTCCATGTGTAATTTTTCCATAATTCTTTGTTTTTTGCAGCATTTTTGTTAGTGTAACTGCAGATTGTGCTGACAGTGTCTATGGCAAAAAAAAAAAAAAAACTGAAAATGCCTCAACATGAACCCCTGGTGGTCTCTGAGGGTGAAACCTGCTAACTGCTGCAGCTCTGTCAGCTTCAGTCTCCCATGCAGAGCTCGGAGCGCATGTGTGGCTCTGCACCCTTAGCAGCGTTGCTAACTCCTCAGTAAGGAAAGCCTGCTTCATGTCAGAGTCTCTAAACTCCAGAAGAAGTCGATAAAAGTCACTTTCTTTCTAAAAAAAAAGTCGTTAGGGGGTCTGAAAAGTCATTGAATCTAACAACAAAGTCGCTAGGTTTGCAACTACGTGTCCCAGACTGCATCCCTGCTGAGAGTCCCTCCCTCCCTTCTCATATTGCAGGAAGAACGTAAGCGCCCGCCCCTTGTCAATCAGTCACCATATAATTTTGGATTGGTTGTTGTGGTGAAGTTTTCCACCAATAGGAGAGATGTTGTGGTGTGTTTTTTTTTTCTTTTGGCAAGCCTTTTCCGCCTGTAAGACCTGTCGCTAATGTCTGCATGCTATGTTTTCCTGTCTCATACAGCGCGATCGAGCGCCGAACGTGATCAAAATAAGCAGAAAACAAGTATCGCGGACATAATTTATCATAACTCTGGTTTTATTTGGCCTATCAACACAATTTAAAAACTGGTATATAGGTTGAGGTCCTCACTTTTGAGATAAGTTGAAACGGAGTCAACGAGGCTCCGTCTTGCAGCTACATCCGGTTAAATATGTCATGTGACTTGAACGCACACACACACACACACACACACACACACACACACAGACACACACACACACGCACACACACACACTCAGAGTCTGGTTTTTAGCACCTGCAAAAACATGCTATTTACATATTTGACAAGAATGCAGAGGCTCCTTTTGCCCCTGAAAAAAATCAAATTTCAAACACAACTTGACTGGTCATTTCTCCAAAAGACAACCATGAAGCTCCATCCAAACCTGAAGCAGGCAGTTGGTGCATGTGTACAGTAACCTGAGGGGAGTGAGGTGACTGCTTCTGAGGAGAACATGAGCAGTGAAGATTCACCTTAGAGCTAGAACAGAGACGTGCACATGATTATACAGGGGCAGGGGCTCAAGTTTTTTCCAGTTGTTTATACAATATGGAAATTAATGTGAAATTAAAAAACAAAGTATTAATAGAAAGGTAATGACTGTCCTGAGTAGGTGACAGTGATATCCAATAGGCTAGGCACTCAAGAGGCTGGCTGTGGCAAGTGTAAGTGAAAGCAACACGCACTGGCAGGAAGAACAGCAAACGCCGATGAAGGAAAAGGGTCTTTGCAGTGATGGGCGTTACCAGAGAGGGCGATGGCCAGAGGACACAAATGGGACGGGGAGGCAGCGCGTTGGGGGGGGGACGCGACACAGCTCGGGCCCGCCAGTGCCCCAACGGGGTCCTAGTTAGGGCCCGAGCCAGCTGCAGAGCAGCCGGGCGTAGGCCCTATTATTCCCCAAGTGGTTTTTCTTTGTTTCTTTCTTTCTTTCTTTCTTAGGGCCCGAGCCAGCTGCAGAGCAGCCGGGCGTAGGCCCTATTATTCCCCAAGTGGTTTTTCTTTGTTTCTTTCTTTCTTTTTTCTTTTTCCTCCCCTTTGAACTGGAAAATGGCCCACTTCCCACTGGCGAAAACTCATGAAATTTGGCAGGATGACCGGGCCTGGTGAAAAATTCGATATTCTGAAGTCGCCAAAACAATAAAATGCAAAATGGCTCCATAGCGCCCCCTAAGGTCGAAATTCACACTATTGACTGTCACGCCTGTACGCTTTGTCATATTGACACAAAAATTGACACACACATGTATCTCAATAAGATCTACAAAAAAGTCAGTGCGGCCGTATCTGTCAAAATTACGGTTAAAGGGTTATTTCGCATTTTTTGCCGATCCGCACACATTGGAATTTCGCTAACTCCTCCGAAGGCTTTCGTTCCACCGGCACCACATTTGCTCAGGCCTATCTACACCCCGTGGCCATTAAAAGTTATCAAAATCATGACGCTGCACCCCAAGGTTTAGGTTCTAGGGGGCGCCAAAGATAACACTAAAATCCACATATTTAAAAGTCTTATAACTTTTTATTTTTGTCCTCACTGGCCTCCAAATTTTCTAGGATGATGCAATGTCCAGCCATCAACACATTTGTGAAGGAATTTTTACTCCCCAAAAGAGCGCCCCCCCATGGCAGGAGAAAAAAGTCCATTTTTTCTTGTCCCCTAAGGTGAAAATACACATTGTTGAGTGTCACGCCTATACGCTTTGTCAAAATGACACAAAAATTGACACACACATGTAACTCAATAAGATCTACAAAAAAGTCCACGCGCGCGTATCTGTCAAATGTACAGTTAAAGGGTTATTCCGCATTTTTTGCCGATCCGCACACATTGGAATGTGGCTAACTCCTCCTAAGGCTTTCGTTCCACCGGCACCACATTTGCTCAGGCCAATCTACACCCCATGGCCATTAAAAGTTATCAAAATCATGACGCTGCACCCCACGGTTTAGGTTCTAGGGGGCGCCAAAAATAACCCAAAAATCCACATTCTTAAATGTTTTATAACTTTTTATTTTTGTCCTCACTGGCCTCCAAGTTTTCTAGGATGATGCAATGTTCAGCCATCAACACATTTGTGAAGGAATTTTTACTCCCCAAAAGAGCGCCCCCCCATGGTAGGAGAAAAAAGTCAATTTTTTCTTGTCCACTTACATAAAAATACACATTGTTGAGTGTCACGCCTGAACGCTTTGTCATATTGACACAAAAATTGACACACATATGTATCTCAATAAGATCTACAAAAAAGTCAATTTGCGCGTATCTGTCAAATGTACGGTTAAAGGGCTATTTTGCATTTTTTGCCGATTCGCACACATTGGAATGTGGCTAACTCCTCCTAAGGCTTTCGTCCCACTGACACCAAATTTGCTCAGGCCAATCTACACCCCATGGCCATTCAAAGTTGTAAAAATCATGACGCTGCACCCCACGGTTTACGTTCTAGGGGGCGCCAAAGATGACCCAAAAATCCACATTCTTAAAAGAATCCACATCCCCCCCCCTATGGCAGGAGAAAAAGTCAAGTTTTTCCTGCCCATCGCTCAATGGCTCAATCGCATCGCTCTCCAGGCAACACCGTAAGGAGGAGCAACCTGGCATTTCGATATATCATAGCTGTGTTTGTGCCCTCACTCATGGTCCAGACTTTTTTCAAATAGGACATGAAGTTTGTCTGCAGCGAGTGTTTTGGTAGAAACTGCGCCTCCCATTCATTATAATGGGAAATGACCACAGACAAGTGCGCACACCATCTTTGGTTCTTGAGTGTGACTCGATCGGGACGGGGAGGCGGTCGCACTGGGGGCGGCGCGACACGGCTCGGGCCCGACAGTGCCCCACCGGGGCCCTAGTTTCTTCTTTTTCCTCCCCTTTGAACTGGAAAATGGCCCACTTCCCACTGGGGAAAACTCATGAAATTTGGCAGGACGACCGGGCCTGGTGAAAAATTCGATATTCTGAAGTCGCCCAAACAATAAAATGCAAAATGGCTCCATAGCGCCCCCTAAGGTGGAAATTCACACTATTGACTGTCACGCCTGTACGCTTTGTCATATTGACACAAAAATTGACACACATATGTATCTCAATAAGATCTACAAAAAAGTCAGTGCGGGCGTATCTGTCAAATGTACGGTTAAAGGGTTATTCCGCATTTTTTGCCGATCCGCACACATTGGAATTTCGCTAACTCCTCCGAAGGCTTTCGTTCCACCGGCACCACATTTGCTCAGGCCAATCTACACCCCGTGGCCATTAAAAGTTATCAAAATCATGACGCTGCACCCCAAGGTTTAGGTTCTAGGGGGCGCCAAAGATAACACTAAAATCCACATATTTCAAAGTCTTATAACTTTTTATTTTTGTCCTCACTGGCCTCCAAGTTTTCTAGGATGATGCAATGTCCAGCCATCAACACATTTGTGAAGGAATTTTTACTCCCCAAAAGAGCGCCCCCCCATGGCAGGAGAAAAAAGTCAATTTTTTCTTGTCCCCTAAGGTGAAAATACACATTGTTGAGTGTCACGCCTATACGCTTTGTCAAAATGACACAAAAATTGACACACACATGTAACTCAATAAGATCTACGAAAAAGTCAATGCGCGCGTATCTGTCAAATGTACGGTTAAAGGGTTATTCCGCATTTTTTGCCGATCCGCACACATTGGAATGTGGCTAACTCCTCCTAAGGCTTTCATTCCACCGGCACCACATTTGCTCAGGACAATCTACACCCCATGGCCATTAAAAGTTATTCAAATCATGACGCTGCACCCCACGGTTTAGGTTCTAGGGGGCGCCAAAGATAACCCTAAAATCCACATTCTTAAAAGTCTTATAACTTTTTATTTTTGTCCTCACTGGCCTCCAAGTTTTCTAGGATGATGCAATGTCCAGCCATCAACACATTTGTGAAGGAATTTTTACTCCCCAAAAGAGCGCCCCCCCATGGCAGGAGAAAAAAGTCCATTTTTTCTTGTCCCCTAAGGTGAAAATACATATTGTTGAGATTCACGCCTATACACTTTGTCATATTGACACAAAATTTGACAATCACGTGCCTTGCCTGGTATCATTTTTTTCAGCACAACCTCACCTGTGCGAATTTACAGTTATTTTATCATGTTGACATACTGAATTTACACAATGGACCCAAATTCACACACAAAACATAAAATCCGAGTGGAAAAAAGTAACATTTTTACTGTGAAAACCACAAATATGTGTGATGAACTGTTTTTAAAACTTAAACTTCAAATAAAAATTGTAAACTTCAAAACATATGCAAATTTTTAACAAAGAACATAGTGATTTACCTCTATTTTCATCAAAATGCAGGCAATGGCCCAGGCGTTCTTTGTAAAATTATTTACAAAACACTGTATAGTCTCACAAATGTCACTTTTTATTTATGCCACTACAAAAAAACATGATGTAAATGATGCATGATGTAAAACATGATGTAAAAAACTTGTGTAGATCCTCCTCTATGTCAGTCCATGTGTAATTTTTCCATAATTCTTTGTTTTTTGCAGCATTTTTGTTAGTGTAACTGCAGATTGTGCTGACAGTGTCTATGGCACAAAAAAAAAAAAAATTTAAAATGCCTCAACATGAACCCCTGGTGGTCTCTGAGGGTGAAACCTGCTAACTGCTGCAGCTCTGTCAGCTTCAGTCTCCCATGCAGAGCTCTGAGCGCATGTGTGGCTCTGCACCCTTAGCAGCGTTGCTAACTCCTCAGTAAGGAAAGCCTGCTTCATGTCAGAGTCTCTAAACTCCAGAAGAAGTCGATAAAAGTCCCTTTCTTTCTAAAAAAGTCGTTAGGGGGTCTGAAAAGTCATTGAATCTAACAACAAAGTCGCTAGGTTTGCAACTACGTGTCCCAGACTGCATCCCTGCTGAGAGTCCCTCCCTCCCTTCTCATGTTGCAGGAAGAACGTAAGCACCCGCCCCTTGTCAATCAGTCACCATATAATTTTGGATTGGTTGTTGTGGTGAAGTTTTCCACCAATAGGAGAGATGTTGTGGTGTTTTTTTTTTTTTCTTTTGGCAAGCCTTTTCCGCCTGTAAGACCTGTCGCTAATGTCTGCATGCTATGTTTTCCTGTCTCATACAGCGCGATCGAGCGCCGAACGTGATCAAAATAAGCAGAAAAAAAGTATCGCGGACATAATTTATCATAACTCTGGTTTTATTTGGCCTATCAACACAATTTAAAAACTGGTATATAGGTTGAGGTCCTCACTTTTGAGATAAGTTGAAACGGAGAGTCAACGAGGCTCCGTCTTGCAGCTACATCCGGTTAAATATGTCATGTGACTTGAACGCGCACACACACACACGCACACACACACACACACACTCAGAGTCTGGTTTTTAGCACCTGCAAAAACATGCTATTTACATATTTGACAAGAATGCAGAGGCTCCTTTTGCCCCTGAAAAAAATCAAATTTCAAACACAACTTGACTGCTCATTTCTCCAAAAGACAACCATGAAGCTCCATCCAAACCTGAAGCAGGCAGTTGGTGCATGTGTACAGTAACCTGAGGGGAGTGAGGTGAGTGCTTCTGAGGAGAACATGAGCAGTGAAGATTCACCTTGGAGCTAGAACAGAGACATGCACATGATTATACAGGGGCAGGGGCTCAAGTTTTTTCCAGTCGTTTATACAATATGGAAATTAATGTGAAATTAAAACACAAAGTATTAATAGAAAGGTAATGACTGTCCTGTGTAGGTGACAGTGATATCCAATAGGCTAGGCACTCACGAGGCTGGCTGTGGCAAGTGTAAGTGAAAGCAACACGCACTGGCAGGAAGAACAGCAAACGCCGATGAAGGAAAAGGGTCTTTGCAGTGATGGGCGTTACCAGAGAGGGCGATGGCCAGAGGACACAAATGGGACGGGGAGGAAGCACGTTGGGGGGGGCGACACGGCTCGGGCCCGCCAGTGCCCCAACGGGGTCCTAGTCTTTTTCTTATTATTTTTCTGCCCCTTTGAACTGGAAAATGGCCCACTTCCCACTGGTGAAAACTCATGAAATTTGGCAGGACGACCGGGCCTGGTGAAAAATTTGATATTCTGAAGTCGCCCAAACAAGAAAATGCAAAATGGCTCCATAGCGCCCCCTAAGGTGAAAATTCACACTATTGACTGTCATGCCTGTACGCTTTGTCAAAATGACACAAAAATTGACACACACATGTATCTCAATAAGATCTACAAAAAAGTCAGTGCGGGCGTATCTGTCAAATGTACCGTTAAAGGGCTATTTCGCATTTTTTGCCGATCCGCACACATTGGAATTTCGCTAACTCCTCCGAAGGCTTTCGTTCCACCGGCACCAAATTTGCTCAGGCCAATATACACCCCATGGCCATTAAAAGTTGTTCAAATCATGACGCTGCACCCCACGGTTTTGGTTCTAGGGGGCGCCAAAGATAACCCTAAAATCCACATATTTAAAAGTCTTATAACTTTTTATTTTTGTCCTCACTGGCCTCCAAGTTTTCTAGGATGATGCAATGTCCAGCCATCAACACATTTGTGAAGGAATTTTTACTCCCCAAAAGAGCGCCCCCCCATGGCAGGAGAAAAAAGTCCATTTTTTCTTGTCCCCTAAGGTGAAAATACACATTGTTGAGATTCACGCCTGTACGCTTTGTCATATTGACACAAAATTTGGCAATCCTGTGTATCTCAATAAGATTTATGAAAAAGTCAACGCGCACGTATCTGTAAAATGTACGGTTCAAGGGCTATTTCGCATTTTTTGGCGATTCGCACACATTGGAATGTGGCTAACTCTTCCTAAGGCTTTCGTCCCACTGACACCAAATTTGCTCAGGCCAATCTACACCCCATGGCCATTCAAAGTTGTAAAAATCATGACGCTGCACCCCACGGTTTACGTTCTAGGGGGCGCCAAAGATGACCCAAATATCCACATTCTTAAAAGAATCAACCCCCCCATCCCCCATCCCCCATCCCCCATGGCAGGAGAAACAGTCAAGTTTTTCCTGCCCATCACTCAATGGCTCAATCGCATCGCTCTCCCGGCAACACCGTAACGAGGAGCAACTTGCCGTTTGGATATATCCTAGCTGTGTTTGTGCCCTCACTCAAGGTCCAGACTTTTTTCAAATAGGACATGTAGTTTGTCTGCAGCGAGTGTTTTGGTAGAAACTGCGCCTCCCATTCATTATAATGGGAAATGACCACAGACAAGTGCGCACACCATCTTTGGACCTTGAGTGTGACGCGATCGGGAGGGGGAGGTGGTCGCGCTGGGGGCGGCGCGACGCGGCTCGGGCCCGACAGTGCCCCACCGGGGCCCTAGTTAGGGCCCGAGCCAGCTGCAGAGCAGCCGGGCGTAGGCCCTATTATTCCCCAAGTGGTTTTTCTTTGTTTCTTTCTTTCTTTCTTTCTTTCTTTCTTTCTTTCTTCTTTTTCCTCCCCTTTGAACTGGAAAATGGCCCACTTCCCACTGGCGAAAACTCATGAAATTTGGCAGGACGACCGGGCCTGGTGAAAAATTCGATATTCTGAAGTCGCCCAAACAATAAAATGCAAAATGGCTCCATAGCGCCCCCTAAGGTGGAAATTCACACTATTGACTGTCACGCCTGTACGCTTTGTCATATTGACACAAAAATTGACACACATATGTATCTCAATAAGATCTACAAAAAAGTCAGTGCGGCCGTATCTGTCAAAATTACGGTTAAAGGGTTATTTCGCATTTTTTGGTGATCCGCACACATTGGAATTTCGCTAACTCCTCCGAAGGCTTTCGTTCCACCGGCACCACATTTGCTCAGGCCAATCTACACCCCGTGGCCATTAAAAGTTATCAAAATCATGACGCTGCACCGCAAGGTTTAGGTTCTAGGGGGCGCCAAAGATAACACTAAAATCCACATATTTAAAAGTCTTATAACTTTTTATTTTTGTCCTCACTGGCCTCCAAGTTTTCTAGGATGATGCAATGTCCAGCCATCAACACATTTGTGAAGGAATTTTTACTCCCCAAAAGAGCGCCCCCCCATGGCAGGAGAAAAAAGTCCATTTTTTCTTGTCCCCTAAGGTGAAAATACACATTGTTGAGTGTCACGCCTATACGCTTTGTCAAAATGACACAAAAATTGACACACACATGTAACTCAATAAGATCTACAAAAAAGTCCATGCGCGCATATCTGTCAAATGTACAGTTAAAGGGTTATTCCGCATTTTTTGCCGATACGCACACATTGGAATTTCGCTAACTCCTCCGAAGGCTTTCGTTCCACCGGCACCACATTTGCTCAGGCCAATCTACACCCCATGGCCATTAAAAGTTATTCAAATCATGATGCTGCACCCCATGGTTTAGGTTCTAGGGGGTGCCAAAAATAACCCAAAAATCCACATTCTTAAATGTTTTATAACTTTTTATTTTTGTCCTCACTGGCCTCCAAGTTTTCTAGGATGATGCAATGTCCAGCCATCAACACATTTGTGAAGGAATTTTTACTCCCCAAAAGAGCGCCCCCCCATGGTAGGAGAAAAAAGTCAATTTTTTCTTGTCCCCTTACATAAAAATACACATTGTTGAGTGTCACGCCTGAACGCTTTGTCATATTGACACAAAAATTGACAATCATGTGTATCTCAATTAGATCTACGAAAAAGTCAAAGAGCGCGTATCTGTATAATGTACGGTTAAAGGGCTATTTTGCATTTTTTGCCGATTCGCACACATTGGAATGTGGCTATCTCCTCCTAAGGCTTTCGTCCCACCGATACCAAATTTGCTCAGGGCAATCTACACCCCATGCCCATTCAAAGTTGTAAAAATCATGACGCTGCACCCCACGGTTTACGTTCTAGGGGGCGCCAAAGATGACCCAAAAATCCACATTCTTAAAAGTCATTTTGGCCACTGCAGGAGTACAGAGTACTGCAGTTCTAGGGGGCGCCAAAGATGACCCAAAAATCCACATTCTTAAAAGTCTTTTTGGCCACTGCAGGAGTACAGAGTACTGCAGGATACACACACATATACACACACGCCAACATACACACACACACACACACACACACACACACACACACACACACACACACACACACACACACAGACACACACACACACTCAGAGTCTGTTTTTTAGCACCTGCAAAAACATGCTGTTTACATATTTGACAAGAATGCAGAGGCTTCCTTTTGCCCCTGAAAAAAATCAAATTTCAAACACAACTTGACTGTTCATTTCTCCAAAAGACAACCATGAAGCTCCATTTCAAACCTGAAGCAGATAGTTGGTGCATGTGTACAGTAACCTGAGGGGAGTGAGGTGACTATTTCTGAGGAGAACATGAGCAGTGAAGATTCACCTTGGAGCTAGAACAGGGACGTGCACATGATTATACAGGGGCAGGGGCTCAAGTTTTTTCCAGTCATTTATACAATATGGAAATTAATGTGAAATTAAACCACAAATATGTGTGATGAACTGTTTTTAAAACTTAAACTTCAAATAAAAATTGTAAACTTCAAAACATATGCAAATTTTTAACAAAGAACATAGTAATTTACCTCTATTTACATCAAAATGCAGGCAATGGCCCAGGCGTTCTTTGTAAAATTATTTACAAAACACTGTATAGTCTCACAAATGTCACTTTTTATTTATGCCACTACAAAAAAACATGATGTAAATGATGCATGATGTAAAACATGATGTAAAAAACTTGTGTAGATCCTCCTCTATGTCAGTCCATGTGTAATTTTTCCATAATTCTTTGTTTTTTGCAGCATTTTTGTTAGTGTAACTGCAGATTGTGCTGACAGTGTCTATGGCACAAAAAAAAAAAAAAATTAAAATGCCTCAACATGAACCCCTGGTGGTCTCTGAGGGTGAAACCTGCTAACTGCTGCAGCTCTGTCAGCTTCAGTCTCCCATGCAGAGCTCTGAGCGCATGTGTGGCTTGCACCCTTAGCAGCGTTGCTAACTCCTCAGTAAGGAAAGCCTGCTTCATGTCAGAGTCTCTAAACTCCAGAAGAAGTCGATAAAAGTCCCTTTCTTTCTAAAAAAGTCGTTAGGGGGTCTGAAAAGTCATTGAATCTAACAACAAAGTCGCTAGGTTTGCAACTACGTGTCCCAGACTGCATCCCTGCTGAGAGTCCCTCCCTCCCTTCTCATGTTGCAGGAAGAACGTAAGCGCCCGCCCCTTGTCAATCAGTCACCATATAATTTTGGATTGGTTGTTGTGGTGAAGTTTTCCACCAATAGGAGAGATGTTGTGGTGTGTTTTTTTTTTCTTTTGGCAAGCCTTTTCCGCCTGTAAGACCTGTCGCTAATGTCTGCATGCTATGTTTTCCTGTCTCATACAGCGCGATCGAGCGCCGAACGTGATCAAAATAAGCAGAAAACAAGTATCGCGGACATAATTTATCATAACTCTGGTTTTATTTGGCCTATCAACACAATTTAAAAACTGGTATATAGGTTGAGGTCCTCACTTTTGAGATAAGTTGAAACGGAGAGTCAACGAGGCTCCGTCTTGCAGCTACATCCGGTTAAATATGTCATGTGACTTGAACTCACACATAGACACACACACACTCACACACACACACACACACACACACACACACACACACACACACACACACACACACACACACTCAGAGTCTGGTTTTTAGCACCTGCAAAAACATGCTATTTACATATTTGACAAGAATGCAGAGGCTCGTTTTGCCCCTGAAAAAAATCAAATTTCAAACACAACTTGACTGGTCATTTCTCCAAAAGACAACCATGAAGCTCCATCCAAACCTGAAGCAGGCAGTTGGTGCATGTGTACAGTAACCTGAGGGGAGTGAGGTGAGTGCTTCTGAGGAGAACATGAGCAGCGAAGATTCACCTTGGAGCTAGAACAGAGACATGCACATGATTATACAGGGGCAGGGGCTCAAGTTTTTTCCAGTCGTCTATACAATATGGAAATTAATGTGAAATTAAAACACAAAGTATTAATAGAAAGGTAATGACTGTCCTGTGTAGGTGACAGTGATATCCAATAGGCTAGGCACTCACGAGGCTGGCTGTGGCAAGTGTAAGTGAAAGCAACACGCACTGGCAGGAAGAACAGCAAACGCCGATGAAGGAAAAGGGTCTTTGCAGTGATGGGCGTTAACAGAGAGGGCGATGGCCAGAGGACACAAATGGGACGGGAAGGCAGCACGTTGGGGGCGGGGGGGGGGAGACGCGACACGGCTCGGGCCCGCCAGTGCCCCAACGGGGTCCTAGTGTTATTAGGGCCCGAGCCAGCTGCAGAGCAGCCGGGCGTAGGCCCTATTATTCCCCAAGTGGTTTTTCTTTGTTTCTTTCTTTCTTTTTTCTTTTTCCTCCCCTTTGAACTGGAAAATGGCCCACTTCCCACTGGCGAAAACTCATGAAATTTGGCAGGACGACCGGGCCTGGTGAAAAATTTGATATTCTGAAGTCGCCCAAACAATAAAATGCAAAATGGCTCCATAGCGCCCCCTAAGGTGAAAATTCACACTATTGACTGTCACGCCTGTACGCTTTGTCATATTGACACAAAAATTGACACACATATGTATCTCAATAAGATCTACAAAAAAGTCAGTGCGGCCGTATCTGTCAAAATTACGGTTAAAGGGTTATTTTGCATTTTTTGCCGATCCGCACACATTGGAATTTCGCTAACTCCTCCGAAGGCTTTCGTTCCACCGGCACCACATTTGCTCAGGCCAATCTACACCCCGTGGCCATTAAAAGTTATCAAAATCATGACGCTGCACCCCAAGGTTTAGGTTCTAGGGGGCGCCAAAGATAACACTAAAATCCACATATTTAAAAGTCTTATAACTTTTTATTTTTGTCCTCACTGGCCTCCAAGTTTTCTAGGATGATGCAATGTCCAGCCATCAACACATTTGTGAAGGAATTTTTACTCCCCAAAGAGCGCCCCCCCATGGCAGGAGAAAAAATTCCATTTTTTCTTGTCCCCTAAGGTGAAAATACACATTGTTGAGTGTCACGCCTATACGCTTTGTCAAAATGACACAAAAATTGACACACACATGTAACTCAATAAGATCTACGAAAAAGTCAATGCGCCCATATCTGTCAAATGTACGGTTAAAGGGTTATTCCGCATTTTTTGCCGATCCGCACACATTGGAATTTCGCTAACTCCTCCTAAGGCTTTCGTTCCACCGGCACCACATTTGCTCAGGCCAATCTACACCCCATGGCCATTAAAAGTTATCAAAATCATGACGCTGCACCCCACGGTTTAGGTTCTAGGGGGCGCCAAAGATAACCCTAAAATCCACATATTTAAAAGTCTTATAACTTTTTATTTTTGTCCTCACTGGCCTCCAAGTTTTCTAGGATGATGCAATGTCCAGCCATCAACACATTTGTGAAGGAATTTTTACTCCCCAAAAGAGCGCCCCCCCATGGCAGGAGAAAAAAGTCCATTTTTTCTTGTCCCCTAAGGTGAAAATACACATTGTTGAGTGTCACGCCTATACGCTTTGTCAAAATGACACAAAAATTGACACACACATGTAACTCAAGAAGATCTACGAAAAAGTCAATGCGCGCATATCTGTCAAATGTACGGTTAAAGGGTTATTCCGCATTTTTTGCCGATCCGCACACATTGGAATTTCGCTTACTCCTCCTAAGGCTTTCGTTCCACCGGCACCACATTTTCTCAGGCCAATCTACACCCCATGGCCATTAAAAGTTATCAAAATCATGACGCTGCACCCCACGGTTTAGGTTCTAGGGGGCGCCAAAGATAACCCTAAAATCCACATATTTAAAAGTCTTATAACTTTTTATTTTTGTCCTCACTGGCCTCCAAGTTTTCTAGGATGATGCAATGTCCAGCCATCAACACATTTGTGAAGGAATTTTTACTCCCCAAAAGAGCGCCCCCCCATGGCAGGAGAAAAAAGTCCATTTTTTCTTGTCCCCTTACATAAAAATACACATTGTTGAGTGTCACGCCTGAACGCTTTGTCATATTGACACAAAAATTGACAATCATGTGTATCTCAATTAGATCTACGAAAAAGTCAAAGAGCGCGTATCTGTATAATGTACGGTTAAAGGGCTATTTCGCATTTTTTGCCGATTCGCACACATTGGAATGTGGCTATCTCCTCCTAAGGCTTTCGTCCCACCGATACCAAATTTGCTCAGGGCAATCTACACCCCATGCCCATTCAAAGTTGTAAAAATCATGACGCTGCACCCCACGGTTTACGTTCTAGGGGGCGCCAAAGATGACCCAAAAATCCACATTCTTAAAAGTCATTTTGGCCACTGCAGGAGTACAGAGTACTGCAGTTCTAGGGGGCGCCAAAGATGACCCAAAAATCCACATTCTTAAAAGTCTTTTTGGCCACTGCAGGAGTACAGAGTACTGCAGGATACACACACATATACACACACGCCAACATACACACACACACACACACACACACACACACACACACACACTCAGAGTCTGTTTTTTAGCACCTGCAAAAACATGCTGTTTACATATTTGACAAGAATGCAGAGGCTTCCTTTTGCCCCTGAAAAAAATCAAATTTCAAACACAACTTGACTGTTCATTTCTCCAAAAGACAACCATGAAGCTCCATTTCAAACCTGAAGCAGATAGTTGGTGCATGTGTACAGTAACCTGAGGGGAGTGAGGTGACTATTTCTGAGGAGAACATGAGCAGTGAAGATTCACCTTGGAGCTAGAACAGGGACGTGCACATGATTATACAGGGGCAGGGGCTCAAGTTTTTTCCAGTCATTTATACAATATGGAAATTAATGTGAAATTAAACCACAAATATGTGTGATGAACTGTTTTTAAAACTTAAACTTCAAATAAAAATTGTAAACTTCAAAACATATGCAAATTTTTAACAAAGAACATAGTAATTTACCTCTATTTACATCAAAATGCAGGCAATGGCCCAGGCGTTCTTTGTAAAATTATTTACAAAACACTGTATAGTCTCACAAATGTCACTTTTTATTTATGCCACTACAAAAAAACATGATGTAAATGATGCATGATGTAAAACATGATGTAAAAAACTTGTGTAGATCCTCCTCTATGTCAGTCCATGTGTAATTTTTCCATAATTCTTTGTTTTTTGCAGCATTTTTGTTAGTGTAACTGCAGATTGTGCTGACAGTGTCTATGGCACAAAAAAAAAAAAAAAATTAAAATGCCTCAACATGAACCCCTGGTGGTCTCTGAGGGTGAAACCTGCTAACTGCTGCAGCTCTGTCAGCTTCAGTCTCCCATGCAGAGCTCGGAGCGCATGTGTGGCTCTGCACCCTTAGCAGCGTTGCTAACTCCTCAGTAAGGAAAGCCTGCTTCATGTCAGAGTCTCTAAACTCCAGAAGAAGTCGATAAAAGTCCCTTTCTTTCTAAAAAAAGTCGTTAGGGGGTCTGAAAAGTCATTGAATCTAACAACAAAGTCGCTAGGTTTGCAACTACGTGTCCCAGACTGCATCCCTGCTGAGAGTCCCTCCCTCCCTTCTCATGTTGCAGGAAGAACGTAAGCGCCCGCCCCTTGTCAATCAGTCACCATATAATTTTGGATTGGTTGTTGTGGTGAAGTTTTCCACCAATAGGAGAGATGTTGTGGTGTGTTTTTTTTTTCCTTTGGCAAGCCTTTTCCGCCTGTAAGACCTGTCGCTAATGTCTGCATGCTATGTTTTCCTGTCTCATACAGCGCGATCGAGCGCAGAACGTGATCAAAATAAGCAGAAAAAAAGTATCGCGGACATAATTTATCATAACTCTGGTTTTATTTGGCCTATCAACACAATTTAAAAACTGGTATATAGGTTGAGGTCCTCACTTTTGAGATAAGTTGAAACGGAGAGTCAACGAGGCTCCGTCTTGCAGCTACATCCGGTTAAATATGTCATGTGATTTGAACGCACACATAGACACACACACACACACACACACACACACACACACACACACACACACACACACTCAGAGTCTGGTTTTTAGCACCTGCAAAAACATGCTATTTACATATTTGACAAGAATGCAGAGGCTCCTTTTGCCCCTGAAAAAAATCAAATTTCAAACACAACTTGACTGGTCATTTCTCCAAAAGACAACCATGAAGCTCCATCCAAACCTGAAGCAGGATGTTGGTGCATGTGTACAGTAACCTGAGGGGAGTGAGGTGAGTGCTTCTGAGGAGAACATGAGCAGTGAAGATTCACCTTGGAGCTAGAACAGAGACATGCACATGATTATACAGGGGCAGGGGCTCAAGTTTTTTCCAGTCGTTTATACAATATGGAAATTAATGTGAAATTAAAACACAAAGTATTAATAGAAAGGTAATGACTGTCCTGTGTAGGTGACAGTGATATCCAATAGGCTAGGCACTCACGAGGCTGGCTGTGGCAAGTGTAAGTGAAAGCAACACGCACTGGCAGGAAGAACAGCAAACGCCGATGAAGGAAAAGGGTCTTTGCAGTGATGGGCGTTACCAGAGAGGGCGATGGCCAGAGGACACAAATGGGACGGGGAGGCAGCACGTTGAGGGGGGACGCGACACGGCTCGGGCCCGCCAGTGCCCCAACGGGGTCCTAGTTCTTTCTTTCTTTCTTTCTTTCTTTCTTCTTTTTCCTCCCCTTTGAACTGGAAAATGGCCCACTTCCCACTGGCGAAAACTCATGAAATTTGGCAGGACGACCGGGCCTGGTGAAAAATTCGATATTCTGAAGTCGCCCAAACAATAAAATGCAAAATGGCTCCATAGCGCCCCCTAAGGTGGAAATTCACACTATTGACTGTCACGCCTGTACGCTTTGTCATATTGACACAAAAATTGACACACATATGTATCTCAATAAGATCTACAAAAAAGTCAGTGCGGCCGTATCTGTCAAAATTACGGTTAAAGGGTTATTTCGCATTTTTTGCCGATCCGCACACATTGGAATTTCGCTAACTCCTCCGAAGGCTTTCGTTCCACCGGCACCACATTGGCTCAGGCCAATCTACACCCTGTGGCCATTAAAAGTTATCAAAATCATGACGCTGCACCCCAAGGTTTAGGTTCTAGGGGGCGCCAAAGATAACACTAAAATCCACATATTTAAAAGTCTTATAACTTTTTATTTTTGTCCTCACTGGCCTCCAAGTTTTCTAGGATGATGCAATGTCCAGCCATCAACACATTTGTGAAGGAATTTTTACTCCCCAAAAGAGCGCCCCCCCATGGCAGGAGAAAAAAGTCAATTTTTTCTTGTCCCCTAAGGTGAAAATACACATTGTTGAGTGTCACGCCTATACGCTTTGTCAAAATGACACAAAAATTGACACACACATGTAACTCAATAAGATCTACAAAAAAGTCCATGCGCGCGTATCTGTCAAATGTACAGTTAAAGGGTTATTCCGCATTTTTTGCCGATACGCACACATTGGAATTTCGCTAACTCCTCCGAAGGCTTTCGTTCCACCGGCACCACATTTGCTCAGGCCAATCTACACCCCATGGCCATTAAAAGTTATTCAAATCATGATGCTGCACCCCATGGTTTAGGTTCTAGGGGGCGCCAAAAATAACCCAAAAATCCACATTCTTAAATGTTTTATAACTTTTTATTTTTGTCCTCACTGGCCTCCAAGTTTTCTAGGATGATGCAATGTCCAGCCATCAACACATTTGTGAAGGAATTTTTACTCCCCAAAAGAGCGCCCCCCCATGGTAGGAGAAAAAAGTCAATTTTTTCTTGTCCCCTTACATAAAAATACACATTGTTGAGTGTCACGCCTGAACGCTTTGCCATATTGACACAAAAATTGACAATCATGTGTATCTCAATTAGATCTACGAAAAAGTCAAAGAGCGCGTATCTGTATAATGTACGGTTAAAGGGCTATTTTGCATTTTTTGCCGATTCGCACACATTGGAATGTGGCTATCTCCTCCTAAGGCTTTCGTCCCACCGATACCAAATTTGCTCAGGGCAATCTACACCCCATGCCCATTCAAAGTTGTAAAAATCATGACGCTGCACCCCACGGTTTACGTTCTAGGGGGCGCCAAAGATGACCCAAAAATCCACATTCTTAAAAGTCATTTTGGCCACTGCAGGAGTACAGAGTACTGCAGTTCTAGGGGGCGCCAAAGATGACCCAAAAATCCACATTCTTAAAAGTCTTTTTGGCCACTGCAGGAGTACAGAGTACTGCAGGATACACACACATATACACACACGCCAACATATACACACACACACACACACACACACACACACACAGACACACACACACACTCAGAGTCTGTTTTTTAGCACCTGCAAAAACATGCTGTTTACATATTTGACAAGAATGCAGAGGCTTCCTTTTGCCCCTGAAAAAAATCAAATTTCAAACACAACTTGACTGTTCATTTCTCCAAAAGACAACCATGAAGCTCCATTTCAAACCTGAAGCAGATAGTTGGTGCATGTGTACAGTAACCTGAGGGGAGTGAGGTGACTATTTCTGAGGAGAACATGAGCAGTGAAGATTCACCTTGGAGCTAGAACAGGGACGTGCACATGATTATACAGGGGCAGGGGCTCAAGTTTTTTCCAGTCATTTATACAATATGGAAATTAATGTGAAATTAAACCACAAATATGTGTGATGAACTGTTTTTAAAACTTAAACTTCAAATAAAAATTGTAAACTTCAAAACATATGCAAATTTTTAACAAAGAACATAGTAATTTACCTCTATTTACATCAAAATGCAGGCAATGGCCCAGGCGTTCTTTGTAAAATTATTTACAAAACACTGTATAGTCTCACAAATGTCACTTTTTATTTATGCCACTACAAAAAAACATGATGTAAATGATGCATGATGTAAAACATGATGTAAAAAACTTGTGTAGATCCTCCTCTATGTCAGTCCATGTGTAATTTTTCCATAATTCTTTGTTTTTTGCAGCATTTTTGTTAGTGTAACTGCAGATTGTGCTGACAGTGTCTATGGCACAAAAAAAAAAAAAAATTAAAATGCCTCAACATGAACCCCTGGTGGTCTCTGAGGGTGAAACCTGCTAACTGCTGCAGCTCTGTCAGCTTCAGTCTCCCATGCAGAGCTCGGAGCGCATGTGTGGCTCTGCACCCTTAGCAGCGTTGCTAACTCCTCAGTAAGGAAAGCCTGCTTCATGTCAGAGTCTCTAAACTCCAGAAGAAGTCGATAAAAGTCCCTTTCTTTCTAAAAAAAAGTCGTTAGGGGGTCTGAAAAGTCATTGAATCTAACAACAAAGTCGCTAGGTTTGCAACTACGTGTCCCAGACTGCATCCCTGCTGAGAGTCCCTCCCTCCCTTCTCATGTTGCAGGAAGAACGTAAGCGCCCGCCCCTTGTCAATCACTCACCATATAATTTTGGATTGGTTGTTGTGGTGAAGTTTTCCACCAATAGGAGAGATGTTGTGGTGTGTTTTTTTTTTCCTTTGGCAAGCCTTTTCCGCCTGTAAGACCTGTCGCTAATGTCTGCATGCTATGTTTTCCTGTCTCATACAGCGCGATCGAGCGCAGAACGTGATCAAAATAAGCAGAAAAAAAGTATCGCGGACATAATTTATCATAACTCTGGTTTTATTTGGCCTATCAACACAATTTAAAAACTGGTATATAGGTTGAGGTCCTCACTTTTGAGATAAGTTGAAACGGAGAGTCAACGAGGCTCCGTCTTGCAGCTACATCCGGTTAAATATGTCATGTGATTTGAACGCACACATAGACACACACACACACACACACACACACACACACACACACACACACACACACACTCAGAGTCTGGTTTTTAGCACCTGCAAAAACATGCTATTTACATATTTGACAAGAATGCAGAGGCTCCTTTTGCCCCTGAAAAAAATCAAATTTCAAACACAACTTGACTGGTCATTTCTCCAAAAGACAACCATGAAGCTCCATCCAAACCTGAAGCAGGATGTTGGTGCATGTGTACAGTAACCTGAGGGGAGTGAGGTGAGTGCTTCTGAGGAGAACATGAGCAGTGAAGATTCACCTTGGAGCTAGAACAGAGACATGCACATGATTATACAGGGGCAGGGGCTCAAGTTTTTTCCAGTCGTTTATACAATATGGAAATTAATGTGAAATTAAAACACAAAGTATTAATAGAAAGGTAATGACTGTCCTGTGTAGGTGACAGTGATATCCAATAGGCTAGGCACTCACGAGGCTGGCTGTGGCAAGTGTAAGTGAAAGCAACACGCACTGGCAGGAAGAACAGCAAACGCCGATGAAGGAAAAGGGTCTTTGCAGTGATGGGCGTTACCAGAGAGGGCGATGGCCAGAGGACACAAATGGGACGGGGAGGCAGCACGTTGAGGGGGGACGCGACACGGCTCGGGCCCGCCAGTGCCCCAACGGGGTCCTAGTTCTTTCTTTCTTTCTTTCTTTCTTTCTTCTTTTTCCTCCCCTTTGAACTGGAAAATGGCCCACTTCCCACTGGCGAAAACTCATGAAATTTGGCAGGACGACCGGGCCTGGTGAAAAATTCGATATTCTGAAGTCGCCCAAACAATAAAATGCAAAATGGCTCCATAGCGCCCCCTAAGGTGGAAATTCACACTATTGACTGTCACGCCTGTACGCTTTGTCATATTGACACAAAAATTGACACACATATGTATCTCAATAAGATCTACAAAAAAGTCAGTGCGGCCGTATCTGTCAAAATTACGGTTAAAGGGTTATTTCGCATTTTTTGCCGATCCGCACACATTGGAATTTCGCTAACTCCTCCGAAGGCTTTCGTTCCACCGGCACCACATTGGCTCAGGCCAATCTACACCCTGTGGCCATTAAAAGTTATCAAAATCATGACGCTGCACCCCAAGGTTTAGGTTCTAGGGGGCGCCAAAGATAACACTAAAATCCACATATTTAAAAGTCTTATAACTTTTTATTTTTGTCCTCACTGGCCTCCAAGTTTTCTAGGATGATGCAATGTCCAGCCATCAACACATTTGTGAAGGAATTTTTACTCCCCAAAAGAGCGCCCCCCCATGGCAGGAGAAAAAAGTCAATTTTTTCTTGTCCCCTAAGGTGAAAATACACATTGTTGAGTGTCACGCCTATACGCTTTGTCAAAATGACACAAAAATTGACACACACATGTAACTCAATAAGATCTACAAAAAAGTCCATGCGCGCGTATCTGTCAAATGTACAGTTAAAGGGTTATTCCGCATTTTTTGCCGATACGCACACATTGGAATTTCGCTAACTCCTCCGAAGGCTTTCGTTCCACCGGCACCACATTTGCTCAGGCCAATCTACACCCCATGGCCATTAAAAGTTATTCAAATCATGATGCTGCACCCCATGGTTTAGGTTCTAGGGGGCGCCAAAAATAACCCAAAAATCCACATTCTTAAATGTTTTATAACTTTTTATTTTTGTCCTCACTGGCCTCCAAGTTTTCTAGGATGATGCAATGTCCAGCCATCAACACATTTGTGAAGGAATTTTTACTCCCCAAAAGAGCGCCCCCCCATGGTAGGAGAAAAAAGTCAATTTTTTCTTGTCCCCTTACATAAAAATACACATTGTTGAGTGTCACGCCTGAACGCTTTGCCATATTGACACAAAAATTGACAATCATGTGTATCTCAATTAGATCTACGAAAAAGTCAAAGAGCGCGTATCTGTATAATGTACGGTTAAAGGGCTATTTTGCATTTTTTGCCGATTCGCACACATTGGAATGTGGCTATCTCCTCCTAAGGCTTTCGTCCCACCGATACCAAATTTGCTCAGGGCAATCTACACCCCATGCCCATTCAAAGTTGTAAAAATCATGACGCTGCACCCCACGGTTTACGTTCTAGGGGGCGCCAAAGATGACCCAAAAATCCACATTCTTAAAAGTCATTTTGGCCACTGCAGGAGTACAGAGTACTGCAGTTCTAGGGGGCGCCAAAGATGACCCAAAAATCCACATTCTTAAAAGTCTTTTTGGCCACTGCAGGAGTACAGAGTACTGCAGGATACACACACATATACACACACGCCAACATATACACACACACACACACACACACACACACACAGACACACACACACACTCAGAGTCTGTTTTTTAGCACCTGCAAAAACATGCTGTTTACATATTTGACAAGAATGCAGAGGCTTCCTTTTGCCCCTGAAAAAAATCAAATTTCAAACACAACTTGACTGTTCATTTCTCCAAAAGACAACCATGAAGCTCCATTTCAAACCTGAAGCAGATAGTTGGTGCATGTGTACAGTAACCTGAGGGGAGTGAGGTGACTATTTCTGAGGAGAACATGAGCAGTGAAGATTCACCTTGGAGCTAGAACAGGGACGTGCACATGATTATACAGGGGCAGGGGCTCAAGTTTTTTCCAGTCATTTATACAATATGGAAATTAATGTGAAATTAAACCACAAATATGTGTGATGAACTGTTTTTAAAACTTAAACTTCAAATAAAAATTGTAAACTTCAAAACATATGCAAATTTTTAACAAAGAACATAGTAATTTACCTCTATTTACATCAAAATGCAGGCAATGGCCCAGGCGTTCTTTGTAAAATTATTTACAAAACACTGTATAGTCTCACAAATGTCACTTTTTATTTATGCCACTACAAAAAAACATGATGTAAATGATGCATGATGTAAAACATGATGTAAAAAACTTGTGTAGATCCTCCTCTATGTCAGTCCATGTGTAATTTTTCCATAATTCTTTGTTTTTTGCAGCATTTTTGTTAGTGTAACTGCAGATTGTGCTGACAGTGTCTATGGCAAAAAAAAAAAAAAAAACTGAAAATGCCTCAACATGAACCCCTGGTGGTCTCTGAGGGTGAAACCTGCTAACTGCTGCAGCTCTGTCAGCTTTAGTCTCCCATGCAGAGCTCGGAGCGCATGTGTGGCTCTGCACCCTTAGCAGCGTTGCTAACTCCTCAGTAAGGAAAGCCTGCTTCATGTCAGAGTCTCTAAACTCCAGAGGAAGTCGATAAAATTCCCTTTCTTTCTAAAAAAAAAAGTCGTTAGGGGGTCTGAAAAGTCATTGAATCTAACAACAAAGTCGCTAGGTTTGCAACTACGTGTCCCAGACTGCATCCCTGCTGAGAGTCCCTCCCTCGCTTCTCATGTTGCAGGAAGAACGTAAGCGCCCGCCCCTTGTCAATCAGTCACCATATAATTTTGGATTGGTTGTTGTGGTGAAGTTTTCCACCAATAGGAGAGATGTTGTGGTGTGTTTTTTTTTTCTTTTGGCAAGCCTTTTCCGCCTGTAAGACCTGTCGCTAATGTCTGCATGCTATGTTTTCCTGTCTCATACAGCGCGATCGAGCGCCGAACGTGATCAAAATAAGCAGAAAAAAAGTATCGCGGACATAATTTATCATAACTCTGGTTTTATTTATCTGCTAAGCAGCTGCGAGAGCCCTATTATTCCCCAAGTGGTTTTTCTTTGTTTCTTTCTTTAGGGCCCGAGCGTAGCTGCTAAGCAGCTGCGAGAGCCCTATTATTCCCCAAGTGGTTTTTCTTTGTTTCTTTCTTTCTTTAGGGCCCGAGCGTAGCTGCTAAGCAGCTGCGAGAGCCCTATTATTCCCCAAGTGGTTTTTCTTTGTTTCTTTCTTTAGGGCCCGAGCCAGCTGCAGAGCAGCCGGGCGTAGGCCCTATTATTCCCCAAGTGGTTTTTCTTTGTTTCTTTCTTTCTTTTTAGGGCCCGAGCGTAGCTGCTAAGCAGCTGCGAGAGCCCTCTTGTTCCTGCATGTTTCCTTCTTTTTAGGGCCCGAGCGTAGCTGCTAAGCAGCTGCGAGAGCCCTGTTGTTCCTGATGGATTCTTCTTTAGGGCCCGAGCGTAGCTGCTAAGCAGCTGCGAGAGCCCTCTTGTTCCTGCATGTTTCCTTCTTTCGTTATTATTTTTCCTCCGCTTTAAACTGGAAAATGGCCCACTTCCCACTGGCAAAAACTCAGGAAATTTGGCAGGACGACCGGGCCTGGTGAAAAATTCGATATTCTGAAGTCGCCCAAACAATAAAATGCAAAATGGCTCCATAGCGCCCCCTAAGGTGAAAATTCACATGACGGCTGTACGCTTTGTCATATTGACACAAAAATTGACACACACATGTATCTCAATAAGATCTACAAAAAAGTCAGTGCGGGCGTATCTGTCAAATGTACGGTTAATGGGTTATTTTGCATTTTTTGCAGATCTGCACACATTGGAATTTCGCTAACTCCTCCGAAGGCTTTCGTTCGACCGGCACCACATTTGCGCAGGCCAATCTACCCCCCATGGCCATTAAAAGTTGTACAAATCATGACGCTGCACCCCACGGTTTAGGTTCTAGGGGGCGCCAAAGATAACCCAAATATCCACATTCTTAAAAGTCTTATAACTTTTTATTTTTGTCCTCACTGCCCTCCAAGTTTTCTAGGATGATGCAATGTCCAGCCATCAACACATTTGTGAAGGAATTTTTACTCCCCAAAAGAGCGCCCCCCCCATGGCAGGAGAAAAAAGTCCATTTTTTCTTGTCCCCTTACATGAAAATACACATTGTTGAGTGTAACACCTGTACGCTTTGGCAAAATGACACAAAAATTGACACACACATGTATCTCAATAAGATCTACGAAAAAGTCAATGCGCGCGTATCTGTCAAATGTACAGTTAAAGGGTTATTCCGCATTTTTTGCCGATCCGCACACATTGGAATTTCGCTAACTCCTCCGAAGGCTTTCGTTCCACCGGCACCACATTTGCTCAGGCCAATCTACACCCCATGGCCATTAAAAGTTATTCAAATCATGACGCTGCACCCCACGGTTTAGGTTCTAGGGGGCGCCAAAGATAACCGTAAAATCCACATATTTAAAAGTCTTATAACTTTTTATTTTTGTCCCCACTGGCCTCCAAGTTTTCTAGGATGATGCAATGTCCAGCCATCAACACATTTGTGAAGGAATTTTTACTCTCCAAAAGAGCGCCCCCCCATGGCAGGAGAAAAAAGTCCATTTTTTCTTGTCCACTAAGGTGAAAATACATATTGTTGAGATTCACGCCTATACGCTTTGTCATATTGACACAAAAATTGACAATCATGTGTATCTTAATTAGATCTACGAAAAAGTCAAAGAGCGCGTATCTGTATAATGTACGGTTAAAGGGTTATTTTGCATTTTTTGCTGATTCGCACACATTGGAATGTGGCTATCTCCTCCTAAGGCTTTCGTCCCACCGATACCAAATTTGCTCAGGGCAATCTACACCCCATGCCCATTCAAAGTTGTAAAAATCATGACGCTGCACCCCACGGTTTAGGTTCTAGGGGGCGCCAAAGATGACCCAAAAATCCACATTCTTAAAAGTCATTTTGGCCACTGCAGGAGTACAGAGTACTGCAGTTCTAGGGGGCGCCAAAGATGACCCAAAAATCCACATTCTTAAAAGTCTTTTTGGCCACTGCAGGAGTACAGAGTACTGCAGGATACACACACATATACACACACGCCAACATACACACACACACACACACACACACACAGACACACACCCACACTCAGAGTCTGTTTTTTAGCACCTGCAAAAACATGCTGTTTACATATTTGACAAGAATGCAGAGGCTTCCTTTTGCCCCTGAAAAAAATCAAATTTCAAACACAACTTGACCGTTCATTTCTCCAAAAGACAACCATGAAGCTCCATTTCAAACCTGAAGCAGATAGTTGGTGCATGTGTACAGTAACCTGAGGGGAGTGAGGTGACTATTTCTGAGGAGAACATGAGCAGTGAAGATTCACCTTGGAGCTAGAACAGGGACGTGCACATGATTATACAGGGGCTCAAGTTTTTTCCAGTCATTTATACAATATGGAAATTAATGTGAAATTAAACCACAAATATGTGTGATGAACTGTTTTTAAAACTTAAACTTCAAATAAAAATTGTAAACTTCAAAACATATGCAAATTTTTAACAAAGAACATAGTAATTTACCTCTATTTACATCAAAATGCAGGCAATGGCCTAGGCGTTCTTTGTAAAATTATTTACAAAACAATGTATAGTCTCACAAATGTCACTTTTTATTTATGCCACTACAAAAAAACATGATGTAAATGATGCATGATGTAAAACATGATGTAAAAAACTTGTGTAGATCCTCCTCTATGTCAGTCCATGTGTAATTTTTCCATAATTCTTTGTTTTTTGCAGCATTTTTGTTAGTGTAACTGCAGATTGTGCTGACAGTGTCTATGGCAAAAAAAAAAAAAAAATTAAAATGCCTCAACATGAACCCCTGGTGGTCTCTGAGGGTGAAACCTGCTAACTGCTGCAGCTCTGTCAGCTTCAGTCTCCCATGCAGAGCTCTGAGCGCATGTGTGGCTCTGCACCCTTAGCAGCGTTGCTAACTCCTCAGTAAGGAAAGCCTGCTTCATGTCAGAGTCTCTAAACTCCAGAAGAAGTCGATAAAAGTCCCTTTCTTTCTAAAAAAAAGTCGTTAGGGGGTCTGAAAAGTCATTGAATCTAACAACAAAGTCGCTAGGTTTGCAACTACGTGTCCCAGACTGCATCCCTGCTGAGAGTCCCTCCCTCGCTTCTCATGTTGCAGGAAGAACGTAAGCGCCCGCCCCTTGTCAATCAGTCACCATATAATTTTGGATTGGTTGTTGTGGTGAAGTTTTCCACCAATAGGAGAGATGTTGTGGTGTGTTTTTTTTTTCTTTTGGCAAGCCTTTTCCGCCTGTAAGACCTGTCCCTAATGTCTGCATGCTATGTTTTCCTGTCTCATACAGCGCGATCGAGCGCCGAACGTGATCAAAATAAGCAGAAAAAAAGTATCGCGGACATAATTTATCATAACTCTGGTTTTATTTGGCCTATCAACACAATTTAAAAACTGGTATATAGGTTGAGGTCCTCACTTTTGAGATAAGTTGAAACGGAGAGTCAACGAGGCTCCGTCTTGCAGCTACATCCGGTTAAATATGTCATGTGACTTGAACGCACACATAGACACACACACACGCACACACACACACACACACACACACACACACACTCAGAGTCTGGTTTTTAGCACCTGCAAAAACATGCTATTTACATATTTGACAAGAATGCAGAGGCTCCTTTTGCCCCTGAAAAAAATCAAATTTCAAACACAACTTGACTGGTCATTTCTCCAAAAGACAACCATGAAGCTCCATCCAAACCTGAAGCAGGCAGTTGGTGCATGTGTACAGTAACCTGAGGGGAGTGAGGTGAGTGCTTCTGAGGAGAACATGAGCAGTGAAGATTCACCTTGGAGCTAGAACAGAGACATGCACATGATTATACAGGGGCAGGGGCTCAAGTTTTTTCCAGTCGTTTATACAATATGGAAATTAATGTGAAATTAAAACACAAAGTATTAATAGAAAGGTAATGACTGTCCTGTGTAGGTGACAGTGATATCCAACGCGACACGGCTCGGGCCCGCCAGTGCCCCAACGGGGTCCTAGTTCTTCTTCTTCTTCTTATTATTTTTCTGCCCCTTTGAACTGGAAAATGGCCCACTTCCCACTGGTGAAAACTCATGAAATTTGGCAGGACAACCGGGCCTGGTGAAAAATTCGATATTCTGAAGCCGCCCAAACAATCAAATGCAAAATGGCTCCATAGCGCCCCCTAAGGTGAAAAATTCACATGATTGAGTGTCACGCCTGTACGCTTTGTCAAAATGACACAAAATTTGACACACACGTGTATCTCAATAAGATCTACAAAAAAGTCAGCGCGGGCGTATCTGTCAAATGTACGGTTAAAGGGCTATTTCGCATTTTTTGCCGATCCGCACACATTGGAATTTCGCTAACTCCTCCGAAGGCTTTCGTTCCACCGGCACCAAATTTGCTCAGGCCAATCTACACCCCATGGCCATTCAAAGTTGTACAAATCATGACGCTGCACCCCACGGTTTACGTTCTAGGGGGCGCCAAAGATAACCCAAAAATCCACATTCTTAAAAGTCTTATAACTTTTTACTTTTGTCCTCACTGGCCTCCAAGTTTTCTAGGATGATGCAATGTCCAGCCATCAACACATTTGTGAAGGAATTTTTACTCCCCAAAAGAGCGCCCCCCCATGGCAGGAGAAAAAGGTCCATTTTTTCTTGTCCCCTAAGGTGAAAATACATATTGTTGAGTGTCACGCCTATACGCTTTGTCATATTGACACAAAATTTGACACACACGTGTATCTCAATAAGATCTACAAAAAAGTCAGCGCGGGCGTTTCTGTTCAATGTACGGTTAAAGGGCTATTTCGCATTTTTTGCCGATACGCACACATTGGAATTTCGCTAACTCCTCTGAAGGCTTTCGTTCCACCGGCACCAAATTTGCTCAGGCCAATCTACACCCCATGGCCATTCAAAGTTGTAAAAATCATGATGCTGCACCCCACGGTTTACGTTCTAGGGGGCGCCAAAGATAACCCAAAAATCCACATTCTTAAAAGTCTTATAACTTATTATTTTTGTCCTGACTGGCTTCCAAGTTTTCTAGGATGATGCAATGTCTAGCCATCAACACATTTGTGAAGGAATTTTTACTCCCTAAAAGAGTGCCCCCCCATGGTAGGAGAAAAAGTCCAGTTTTTCCTGCCCATCGCTCAATGGCTCAAACACATCGCCCTCTCGGCAAAACCGAAAGGAGTAACAACTTGCCATTTGGATATATCCTAGCTGTGTTTGTGCCCTCACTCATGGTCCAGACTTTTTTCAAATAGGACATGGAGTTTGTCTGCAGCGAGCGTTTTGGTAGAAACTGCGCCTCCCATTCATTATAATGGTAAATGACCACAGACAAGTGCGCACACCATCTTTGGACCTTGAGTGTGATGCGATCGGGAGGGAGAGGCGGTCGTGTTGGGGGCGGCGCGACACAGCTCGGGCCCGCCAGTGCCCCAACGGGGCCCTAGTTTTTTCTTTTTCCTCCCCTTTGAACTGGAAAATGGCCCACTTCCCACTGGCGAAAACTCATGAAATTTGGCAGGATGACCGGGCCTGGTGAAAAATTTGATATTCTGAAGTCGCCCAAACAATACAATGCAAAATGGCTCCATAGCGCCCCCTAAGGTGAAAAATTCACCTGACGCCTGTACGCTTTGTCAAAATGACACAAAAATTGACACACACATGTATCTCAATAAGATCTACAAAAAAGTCAGTGCGGGCGTATCTGTCAAATGTACGGTTAAAGGGTTATTGCGCATTTTTTGCCAATCCGCACACATTGGAATTTCGCTAACTCCTCCGAAGGCTTTCGTTCCACCGGCACCACATTTGCTCAGGCCAATCTACACCCCATGGCCATTAAAAGTTATTCAAATCATGACGCTGCACCCCACGGTTTAGGTTCTAGGGGGCGCCAAAGATAACCCTAAAATCCACATATTTCAAAGTCTTATAACTTTTTATTTTTGCCCTCACTGGCCTCCAAGTTTTCTAGGATGATGCAATGTCCAGCCATCAACACATTTGTGAAGGAATTTTTACTCCCCAAAAGAGCGCCCCCCCATGGCAGGAGAAAAAAGTCCATTTTTTCTTGTCCCATAAGGTGAAAATTCACACTATTGACTGTCACGCCTGTATGCTTTGTCAAAATTACACAAAAATTGACACACACATGTATCTCAATAAGATCTACAAAAAAGTCAATGCGCGCGTATCTGTCAAATGTACAGTTAAAGGGTTATTCCGCATTTTTTGCCGATACGCACACATTGGAATTTCGCTAACTCCTCCGAAGGCTTTCGTTCCACCGGCACCACATTTGCTCAGGCCAATCTACACCCCATGGCCATTAAAAGTTATTCAAATCATGATGCTGCACCCCATGGTTTAGGTTCTAGGGGGCGCCAAAAATAACCCAAAAATCCACATTCTTAAATGTTTTATAACTTTTTATTTTTGTCCTCACTGGCCTCCAAGTTTTCTAGGATGATGCAATGTCCAGCCATCAACACATTTGTGAAGGAATTTTTACTCCCCAAAAGAGCGCCCCCCCATGGTAGGAGAAAAAAGTCAATTTTTTCTTGTCCCCTTACATGAAAATACACATTGTTGAGTGTCACGCCTGAACGCTTTGTCATATTGACACAAAAATTGACAATCATGTGTATCTCAATTAGATCTACGAAAAAGTCAAAGAGCGCGTATCTTTATAATGTACGGTTAAAGGGCTATTTTGCATTTTTTGCCGATTCGCACACATTGTAATGTGGCTATCTCCTCCTAAGGCTTTCGTCCCACCGATACCAAATTTGCTCAGGGCAATCTACACCCCATGCCCATTCAAAGTTGTAAAAATCATGACGCTGCACCCCACGGTTTACGTTCTAGGGGGCGCCAAAGATGACCCAAAAATCCACATTCTTAAAAGTCATTTTGGCCACTGCAGGAGTACAGTACTGCAGTTCTAGGGGGCGCCAAAGATGACCCAAAAATCCACATTCTTAAAAGTCTTTTTGGCCACTGCAGGAGTACAGAGTACTGCAGGATACACACACATATACACACACACCAACATACACACACACACACACACACACACACACACACACACAGACACACACACACACTCAGAGTCTGTTTTTTAGCACCTGCAAAAACATGCTGTTTACATATTTGACAAGAATGCAGAGGCTTCCTTTTGCCCCTGAAAAAAATCAAATTTCAAACACAACTTGACTGTTCATTTCTCCAAAAGACAACCATGAAGCTCCATTTCAAACCTGAAGCAGATAGTTGGTGCATGTGTACAGTAACCTGAGGGGAGTGAGGTGACTATTTCTGAGGAGAACATGAGCAGTGAAGATTCACCTTGGAGCTAGAACAGGGACGTGCACATGATTATACAGGGGCAGGGGCTCAAGTTTTTTCCAGTCATTTATACAATATGGAAATTAATGTGAAATTAAACCACAAATATGTGTGATGAACTGTTTTTAAAACTTAAACTTCAAATAAAAATTGTAAACTTCAAAACATATGCAAATTTTTAACAAAGAACATAGTGATTTACCTCTATTTTCATCAAAATGCAGGCAATGGCCCAGGCGTTCTTTGTAAAATTATTTACAAAACACTGTATAGTCTCACAAATGTCACTTTTTATTTATGCCACTACAAAAAAACATGATGTAAATGATGCATGATGTAAAACATGATGTAAAAAACTTGTGTAGATCCTCCTCTATGTCAGTCCATGTGTAATTCTTCCATAATTCTTTGTTTTTTGCAGCATTTTTGTTAGTGTAACTGCAGATTGTGCTGACAGTGTCTATGGCAAAAAAAAAAAAAAAAAATTAAAATGCCTCAACATGAACCCCTGGTGGTCTCTGAGGGTGAAACCTGCTAACTGCTGCAGCTCTGTCAGCTTCAGTCTCCCATGCAGAGCTCTGAGCGCATGTGTGGCTCTGCACCCTTAGCAGCGTTGCTAACTCCTCAGTAAGGAAAGCCTGCTTCATGTCAGAGTCTCTAAACTCCAGAAGAAGTCGATAAAAGTCCCTTTCTTTCTAAAAAAAAGTCGTTAGGGGGTCTGAAAAGTCATTGAATCTAACAACAAAGTCGCTAGGTTTGCAACTACGTGTCCCAGACTGCATCCCTGCTGAGAGTCCCTCCCTCGCTTCTCATGTTTTTGGATTGGTTGTTGTGGTGAAGTTTTCCACCAATAGGAGAGATGTTGTGGTGTGTTTTTTTTTTCTTTTGGCAAGCCTTTTCCGCCTGTAAGACCTGTCGCTAATGTCTGCATGCTATGTTTTCCTGTCTCATACAGCGCGATCGAGCGCCGAACGTGATCAAAATAAGCAGAAAAAAAGTATCGCGGACATAATTTATCATAACTCTGGTTTTATTTGGCCTATCAACACAATTTAAAAACTGGTATATAGGTTGAGGTCCTCACTTTTGAGATAAGTTGAAACGGAGAGTCAACGAGGCTCCGTCTTGCAGCTACATCCGATTAAATATGTCATGTGACTTGAACGCCCACACAGACACACACACACACACACACACACACACACACACACACACACACACACACACACACACACACACACACACACACACACACACACACACTCAGAGTCTGGTTTTTAGCACCTGCAAAAACATGCTATTTACATATTTGACAAGAATGCAGAGGCTCCTTTTGCCCCTGAAAAAAATCAAATTTCAAACACAACTTGACTGGTCATTTCTCCAAAAGACAACCATGAAGCTCCATCCAAACCTGAAGCAGGCAGTTGGTGCATGTGTACAGTAACCTGAGGGGAGTGAGGTGAGTGCTTCTGAGGAGAACATGAGCAGTGAAGATTCACCTTGGAGCTAGAACAGAGACATGCACATGATTATACAGGGGCAGGGGCTCAAGTTTTTTCCAGTCGTTTATACAATATGGAAATTAATGTGAAATTAAAACACAAAGTATTAATAGAAAGGTAATGACTGTCCTGTGTAGGTGACAGTGATATCCAATAGGCTAGGCACTCACGAGGCTGGCTGTGGCAAGTGTAAGTGAAAGCAACACGCACTGGCAGGAAGAACAGCAAACGCCGATGAAGGAAAAGGGTCTTTGCAGTGATGGGCGTTACCAGAGAGGGCGATGGCCAGAGGACACAAATGGGACGGGGAGGCAGCACGTTGGGGGGGGGGGGGGGGGGCGCGACACGGCTCGGGCCCGCCAGTGCCCCAACGGGGTCCTAGTGTTATTAGGGCCCGAGCGTAGCTGCTAAGCAGCTGCGAGAGCCCTCTTGTTCCTGCATGTTTCCTTCTTTCGTTATTATTTTTCCTCCGCTTTAAACTGGAAAATGGCCCACTTCCCACTGGCGAAAACTCAGGAAATTTGGCAGGACGACCGGGCCTGGTGAAAAATTCGATATTCTGAAGTCGCCCAAACAATAAAATGCAAAATGGCTCCATAGCGCCCCCTAAGGTGAAAATTCACATGACAGCTGTACGCTTTGTCATATTGACACAAAAATTGACACACACATGTATCTCAATAAGATCTACAAAAAAGTCAGTGCGGGCGTATCTGTCAAATGTACGGTTAATGGGTTATTTTGCATTTTTTGCAGATCTGCACACATTGGAATTTCGCTAACTCCTCCGAAGGCTTTCGTTCGACCGGCACCACATTTGCTCAGGCCAATCTAAGGAATTTTTACTCCCCAAAAGAGCGCCCCCCCATGGCAGGAGAAAAAAGTCCATTTTTTCTTGTCCCCTTACATGAAAATACACATTGTTGAGTGTCATGCCTGAACGCTTTGTCATACTGACACAAAAATTGACAATCACGTGTATCTCAATTAGATCTACGAAAAAGTCAAAAAGCGCGTATCTGCATAATGTACGGTTAAAGGGCTATTTCGCATTTTTTGCCGATTCGCACACATTGGAATGTGGCTATCTCCTCCTAAGGCTTTCGTCCCACCGATACCAAATTTGCTCAGGGCAATCTACACCCCATGCCCATTCAAAGTTGTAAAAATCATGACGCTGCACCCCACGGTTTACGTTCTAGGGGGCACCAAAGATGACCCAAAAATCCACATTCTTAAAAGTCATTTTGGCCACTGCAGGAGTACAGAGTACTGCAGTTCTAGGGGGCGCCAAAGATGACCCAAAAATCCACATTCTTAAAAGTCTTTTTGGCCACTGCAGGAGTACAGAGTACTGCAGGATACACACACATACACACACACACACACACACACACACACACACACACACACACACACACACACACACACACTCAGAGTCTGTTTTTTAGCACCTGCAAAAACATGCTGTTTACATATTTGACAAGAATGCAGAGGCTTCCTTTTGCCCCTGAAAAAAATCAGATTTCAAACACAACTTGACTGTTCATTTCTCCAAAAGACAACCATGAAGCTCCATCCAAACCTGAAGCAGATAGTTGGTGCATGTGTACAGTAACCTGAGGGGAGTGAGGTGACTATTTCTGAGGAGAACATGAGCAGTGAAGATTCAGCTTGGAGCTAGAACAGGGACGTGCACATGATTATACAGGGGCAGGGGCTCAAGTTTTTTCCAGTCATTTATACAATATGGAAATTAATGTGAAATTAAAACACAAATATGTGTGATGAACTGTTTTTAAAACTTAAACTTCAAATAAAAATTGTAAACTTCAAAACATATGCAAATTTTTAACAAAGAACATAGTAATTTACCTCTATTTACATCAAAATGCAGGCAATGGCCCAGGCGTTCTTTGTAAAATTATTTACAAAACACTGTATAGTCTCACAAATGTCACTTTTTATTTATGCCACTACAAAAAAACATGATGTAAATGATGCATGATGTAAAACATGATGTAAAAAACTTGTGTAGATCCTCCTCTATGTCAGTCCATGTGTAATTTTTCCATAATTCTTTGTTTTTTGCAGCATTTTTGTTAGTGTAACTGCAGATTGTGCTGACAGTGTCTATGGCACAAAAAAAAAAAAAAATTAAAATGCCTCAACATGAACCCCTGGTGGTCTCTGAGGGTGAAACCTGCTAACTGCTGCAGCTCTGTCAGCTTCAGTCTCCCATGCAGAGCTCTGAGCGCATGTGTGGCTCTGCACCCTTAGCAGCGTTGCTAACTCCTCAGTAAGGAAAGCCTGCTTCATGTCAGAGTCTCTAAACTCCAGAAGAAGTCGATAAAAGTCCCTTTCTTTCTAAAAAAAAGTCGTTAGGGTGTCTGAAAAGTCATTGAATCTAACAACAAAGTCGCTAGGTTTGCAACTACGTGTCCCAGACTGCATCCCTGCTGAGAGTCCCTCCCTCCCTTCTCATGTTGCAGGAAGAACGTAAGCGCCCGCCCCTTGTCAATCAGTCACCATATAATTTTGGATTGGTTGTTGTGGTGAAGTTTTCCACCAATAGGAGAGATGTTGTGGTGTGTTTTTTTTTTCTTTTGGCAAGCCTTTTCCGCCTGTAAGACCTGTCGCTAATGTCTGCATGCTATGTTTTCCTGTCTCATACAGCGCGATCGAGCGCCGAACATGATCAAAATAAGCAGAAAAAAAGTATCGCGGACATAATTTATCATAACTCTGGTTTTATTTGGCCTATCAACACAATTTAAAAACTGGTATATAGGTTGAGGTCCTCACTTTTGAGATAAGTTGAAACGGAGAGTCAACGAGGCTCCGTCTTGCAGCTACATCCGGTTAAATATGTCATGTGACTTGAACGCACACATAGACACACACACACGCACACACACACACACACACACACACACACACACACACACACACACACACACACACACACACACACTCAGAGTCTGGTTTTTAGCACCTGCAAAAACATGCTATTTACATATTTGACAAGAATGCAGAGGCTCCTTTTGCCCCTGAAAAAAATCAAATTTCAAACACAACTTGACTGGTCATTTCTCCAAAAGACAACCATGAAGCTCCATCCAAACCTGAAGCAGGCAGTTGGTGCATGTGTACAGTAACCTGAGGGGAGTGAGGTGAGTGCTTCTGAGGAGAGCATGAGCAGTGAAGATTCACCTTGGAGCTAGAACAGAGACATGCACATGATTATACAGGGGCAGGGGCTCAAGTTTTTTCCAGTCGTTTATACAATATGGAAATTAATGTGAAATTAAAACACAAAGTATTAATAGAAAGGTAATGACTGTCCTGTGTAGGTGACAGTGATATCCAATAGGCTAGGCACTCACGAGGCTGGCTGTGGCAAGTGTAAGTGAAAGCAACACGCACTGGCAGGAAGAACAGCAAACGCCGATGAAGGAAAAGGGTCTTTGCAGTGATGGGCGTTAACAGAGAGGGCAATGGCCAGAGGACACAAATGGGACGGGGAGGCAGCACGTTGGGGGGGGGGGGGGAGAGACGCGACACAGCTCGGGCCCGCCAGTGCCCCAACGGGGTCCTAGTTAGGGCCCGAGCGTAGCTGCTAAGCAGCTGCGAGAGCCCTATTATTCCCCAAGTGGTTTTTCTTTGTTTCTTTTTTCTTTTTCCTCCCCTTTGAACTGGAAAATGGCCCACTTCCCACTGGCGAAAACTCAGGAAATTTGGCAGGACGACCGGGCCTGGTGAAAAATTTGATATTCCGAAGTCGCCCAAACAAGAAAATGCAAAATGGCTCCATAGCGCCCCCTAAGGTGAAAATTCACACTATTGACTGTCACGCCTGTACGCTTTGTCAAAATGACACAAAAATTGACACACACATGTATCTCAATAAGATCTACAAAAAAGTCAGTGCGGGCGTATCTGTCAAATGTACGGTTAAAGGGTTATTTCGCATTTTTTGCCGATCCGCACACATTGGAATTTCGCTAACTCCTCCGAAGGCTTTCGTTCCACCGGCACCACATTTGCTCAGGCCAATCTACACCCCATGGCCATTAAAAGTTATTCAAATCATGACGCTGCACCCCACGGTTTAGGTTCTAGGGGGCGCCAAAGATAACCCTAAAATCCACATTTTTAAAAGTCTTATAACTTTTTATTTTTGCCCTCACTGGCCTCCAAGTTTTCTAGGATGATGCAATGTCCAGCCATCAACACATGTGTGAAGGAATTTTTACTCCCCAAAAGAGCGCCCCCCCATGGCAGGAGAAAAAAGTCCATTTTTTCTTGTCCCCTAAGGTGAAAATACACATTGTTGACTGTCACGCCTATACGCTTTGTCAAAATGACACAAAAATTGACACACACATGTATCTCAATAAGATCTTCGAAAAAGTCAATGCGCGCGTATCTGTCTAATGTACGGTTAAAGGGTTATTCCGCATTTTTTGCCGATTCGCACACATTGGAATTTCGCTAACTCCTCCGAAGGCTTTCGTTCCACCGGCACCACATTTGCTCAGGCCAAATTACACCCCATGGCCATTAAAAGTTATTCAAATCATGACGCTGCACCCCACGGTTTACGTTCTAGGGGGCGCCAAAGATAACCCAAAAATCCACATTTTTAAAAGTCTTATAACTTTTTATTTTTGTCCTCACTGGCCTCCAAGTTTTCTAGGATGATGCAATGTCCAGCCATCAACACATTTGTGAAGGAATTTTTACTCCCTAAAAGAGCGCCCCCCATGGCAGGAGAAAAAAGTCCATTTTTTCTTGTCCCCTAAGGTGAAAATACACATTGTTGACTGTCACGCCTGTACGCTTTGGCAAAATGACACAAAAATTGACAATCATGTGTATCTCAATTAGATCTACGAAAAAGTCAAAGAGCGCGTATCTGTATAATGTACGGTAAAAGGGCTATTTTGCATTTTTTGCCGATTCGCACACATTGGAATTTCGCTAACTCCTCCTAAGGCTTTCGTCCCACTGACACCAAATTTGCTCAGGCCAATCTACACTCCATGGCCATTCAAAGTTGTAAAAATCATGACGCTGCACCCCACGGTTTACGTTTTAGGGGGCGCCAAAGATGACCCAAATATACATTACAGTAGACAAAGTAGTTTTGCCCACTGAGTGGCGGCAAAGGGACTTGTCTGTGGAGTCTGTGAGTCACTATTGGCCGTTTTTGACTACTTTAGATTTTACCTTTATATTTCCTCTTACAAAATTTTTACCTTGCCTTGCCTGGTATCATTTTTTTCAGCACAACCTCACCTGTGTCAATTTACAGTTATTTTATCATTTTGACATACTATATTTACACATTGGACCCAAATTCACACACAAAACATAAAATCCGAGTGGAAAAAAGTAACGTTTTTACTGTGAAAACCACAAATATGTGTGATGAACTGTTTTTAAAACTTAAACTTCAAATAAAAATTGTAAACTTCAAAACATATGCAAATTTTTAACAAAGAACATAGTAATTTTCCTCTATTGACATCAAAATGCAGGCAATGGCCCAGGTGTTCTTTGTAAAATTATTTACAAAACACTGTATAGTCTCACAAATGTCACTTTTTATTTATGCCACTACAAAAAAACATGATGTAAATGATGCATGATGTAAAACATGATGTAAAAAACTTGTGTAGATCCTCCTCTATGTTAGTCCATGTGTAATTTTTCCATAATTCTTTGTTTTTTGCAGCATTTTTGTTAGTGTAACTGCAGATTGTGCTGACAGTGTCTATGGCAAAAAAAAAAAAAAAAAAAACTAAAAATGCCTCAACATGAACCCCTGGTGGTCTCTGAGGGTGAAACCTGCTAACTGCTGCAGCTCTGTCAGCTTCAGTCTCCCATGCAGAGCTCGGAGCGCATGTGTGGCTCTGCACCCTTAGCAGCGTTGCTAACTCCTCAGTAAGGAAAGCCTGCTTCATGTCAGAGTCTCTAAACTCCAGAAGAAGTCGATAAAAGTCCCTTTCTTTCTAAAAAAAAGTCGTTAGGGGGTCTGAAAAGTCATTGAATCTAACAACAAAGTCGCTAGGTTTGCAACTACGTGTCCCAGACTGCATCCCTGCTGAGAGTCCCTCCCTCCCTTCTCATATTGCAGGAAGAACGTAAGTTCCCGCCCCTTGTCAATCAATCACCATATAATTTTGGATTGGTTGTTGTGGTGAAGTTTTCCACCAATAGGAGAGATGTTGTGGTGTGTTTTTTTTTTCTTTTGGCAAGCCTTTTCCGCCTGTAAGACCTGTCGCTAATGTCTGCATGCTATGTTTTCCTGTCTCATACAGCGCGATCGAGCGCCGAATGTGATCAAAATAAGCAGAAAACAAGTATCGCGGACATAATTTATCATAACTCTGGTTTTATTTGGCCTATCAACACAATTTAAAAACTGGTATATAGGTTGAGGTCCTCACTTTTGAGATAAATTGAAACGGAGAGTCAACGAGGCTCCGTCTTGCAGCTACATCCGGTTAAATATGTCATGTGACTTGAACGCACACACACACACACACACACACACACACAGACACACACACACACGCACACACACACACTCAGAGTCTGGTTTTTAGCACCTGCAAAAACATGCTATTTACATATTTGACAAGAATGCAGAGGCTCCTTTTGCCCCTGAAAAAAATCAAATTTCAAACACAACTTGACTGGTCATTTCTCCAAAAGACAACCATGAAGCTCCATCCAAACCTGAAGCAGGCAGTTGGTGCATGTGTACAGTAACCTGAGGGGAGTGAGGTGACTGCTTCTGAGGAGAACATGAGCAGTGAAGATTCACCTTAGAGCTAGAACAGAGACGTGCACATGATTATACAGGGGCAGGGGCTCAAGTTTTTTCCAGTCGTTTATACAATATGGAAATTAATGTGAAATTAAAAAACAAAGTATTAATAGAAAGGTAATGACTGTCCTGTGTAGGTGACAGTAATATCCAATAGGCTAGGCACTCACGAGGCTGGCTGTGGCAAGTGTAAGTGAAAGCAACACGCACTGGCAGGAAGAACAGCAAACGCCGATGAAGGAAAAGGGTCTTTGCAGTGATGGGCGTTACCAGAGAGGGCGATGGCCAGAGGACACAAATGGGACGGGGAGGCAGCGCGTTGGGGGGGGGGCGCGACACAGCTCGGGCCCGCCAGTGCCCCAACGGGGTCCTAGTTATTATTTTTCCTCCCCTTTGAACTGGAAAATGGCCCACTTCCCACTGGCGAAAACTCATGAAATTTGGCAGGACGACCGGGCCTGGTGAAAAATTTGATATTCTGAAGTCGCCCAAACAATACAATGCAAAATGGCTCCATAGCGCCCCCTAAGGTGAAAAATTCACCTGACGCCTGTACGCTTTGTCAAAATGACACAAAAATTGACACACACATGTATCTCAATAAGATCTACAAAAAAGTCAGTGCGGGCGTATCTGTCAAATGTACGGTTAAAGGGTTATTTCGCATTTTTTGCCGATCCGCACACATTGGAATTTCGCTAACTCCTCCGAAGGCTTTCGTTCCACCGGCACCACATTTGCTCAGGCCAATCTACACCCCATGGCCATTAAAAGTTATTCAAATCATGACGCTGCACCCCACGGTTTATGTTCTAGGGGGCGCCAAAGATAACCCTAAAATCCACATATTTCAAAGTCTTATAACTTTTTATTTTTGCCCTCACTGGCCTCCAAGTTTTCTAGGATGATGCAATGTCCAGCCATCAACACATTTGTGAAGGAATTTTTACTCCCCAAAAGAGCGCCCCCCCATGGCAGGAGAAAAAAGTCCATTTTTTCTTGTTCCATAAGGTGAAAATTCACACTATTGACTGTCACGCCTGTACGCTTTGTCAAAATTACACAAAAATTGACACACACATGTATCTCAATAAGATCTACAAAAAAGTCAGTGCGGGCGTATCTGTCAAATGTACGGTTAAAGGGTTATTGCGCATTTTTTGCCGATCCGCACACATTGGAATTTCGCTAACTCCTCCGAAGGCTTTCGTTCAACCGGCACCACATTTGCTCAGGCCAATCTACACCCCATGGCCATTAAAAGTTATTCAAATCATGACGCTGCACCCCACAGTTTAGGTTCTAGGGGGCGCCAAAGATAACCCTAAAATCCACATATTTAAAAGTCTTATAACTTTTTATTTTTGTCCTCTCTGGCCTCCAAGTTTTCTAGGATGATGCAATGTCCAGCCATCAACACATTTGTGAAGGAATTTTTACTCCCTAAAAGAGCGCCCCCCCATGGCAGGAGAAAAAAGTCCATTTTTTCTTGTCCCATAAGGTGAAAATACACATTGTTGACTGTCATACCTGTATGCTTTGTCATATTGACACAAAATTTGACACACACATGTATCTCAATAAGATGTACGAAAAAGTCAAAGAGCGCGTATCTGTAAAATGTACGGTTAAAGGGCTATTTTGCATTTTTTGCCGATTAGCACACATTGGAATGTGGCTAACTCCTCCTAAGGCTTTCGTCCCACTGACACCAAATTTGCTCAGGCCAATCTACACCCCATGGCCATTCAAAGTTTTAAAAATCATGCCGCTGCACCCCACGGTTTACGTTCTAGGGGGCGCCAAAGATGACCCAAATATCCACATTCTTAAAAGAATCCACATCCCTTCCCCCCCCCCTCCCATCCCCCATCCCCCATGGCAGGAGAAACAGTCAAGTTTTTCCTGCCCATCACTCAATGGCTCAATCGCATCGCTCTCCCGGCAACACCGTAACGAGGAGCAACTTGCCGTTTGGATATATCCTAGCTGTGTTTGTGCCCTCACTCATGGTCCAGACTTTTTTCAAATAGGACATGTAGTTTGTCTGCAGCGAGTGTTTTGGTAGAAACTGCGCCTCCCATTCATTATAATGGGAAATGACCACAGACAAGTGCGCACACCATCTTTGGACCTTGAGTGTGACGCGATCGGGAGGGGGAGGCGGTCGCACTGGGGGCGGCGCAACGCGGCTCGGGCCCGCCAGTGCCCCAACGGGGCCCTAGTTTCTTTTTCCTCCCCTTTGAACTGGAAAATGGCCCACTTCCCACTGGCGAAAACTCATGAAATTTGGCAGGACGACCGGGCCTGGTGAAAAATTTGATATTCTGAAGTCGCCAAAACAATAAAATGCAAAATGGCTCCATAGCGCCCCCTAAGGTGAAAATTCACACAATTCACTGTCACGACTGTACGCTTTGTCAAAATGACACAAAAATGGACACACACATGTATCTCAATAAGATCTACAAAAAAGTCAGTGCGGCCGTATCTGTCAAAATTACGGTTAAAGGGTTATTTCGCATTTTTTGCCGATCTGCACACATTGGAATTTCGCTAACTCCTCCGAAGGCTTTCGTTCCACTGGCACCACATTTGCTCAGGCCAATCTACACCCCGTGGCCATTAAAAGTTATCAAAATCATGACGCTGCACCCCAAGGTTTAGGTTCTAGGGGGCGCCAAAGATAACACTAAAATCCACATATTTAAAAGTCTTATAACTTTTTATTTTTGTCCTCACTGGCCTCCAAGTTTTCTAGGATGATGCAATGTCCAGCCATCAACACATTTGTGAAGGAATTTTTACTCCCCAAAAGAGCGCCCCCCCATGGCAGGAGAAAAAAGTCCATTTTTTCTTGTCCCCTAAGGTGAAAATACACATTGTTGAGTGTCACGCCTATACGCTTTGTCAAAATGACACAAAAATTGACACACACATGTAACTCAATAAGATCTACGAAAAAGTCAATGCGCGCGTATCTGTCAAATGTACGGTTAAAGGGTTATTCCGCATTTTTTGCCGATCCGCACACATTGGAATGTGGCTAACTCCTCCTAAGGCTTTCGTTCCACCGGCACCACATTTGCTCAGGCCAATCTACAGCCCATGGCCATTAAAAGTTATCAAAATCATGACGCTGCACCCCACGGTTTAGGTTCTAGGGGGCGCCAAAGATAACCCTAAAATCCACATATTTAAAAGTCTTATAACTTTTTATTTTTGTCCTCACTGGCCTCCAAGTTTTCTAGGATGATGCAATGTCCAGCCATCAACACATTTGTGAAGGAATTTTTACTCCCCAAAAGAGCGCCCCCCCATGGCAGGAGAAAAAAGTCCATTTTTTCTTGTCCCCTAAGGTGAAAATACATATTGTTGAGATTCACGCCTATACGCTTTGTCATATTGACACAAAATTTGACAATCACGTGCCTTGCCTGGTATCATTTTTTTCAGCACAACCTCACCTGTGTCAATTTACAGTTATTTTATCATGTTGACATACTGAATTTACACAATGGACCCAAATTCACACACAAAACATAAAATCCGAGTGGAAAAAAGTAACATTTTTACTGTGAAAACCACAAATATGTGTGATGAACTGTTTTTAAAACTTAAACTTCAAATAAAAATTGTAAACTTCAAAACATATGCAAATTTTTAACAAAGAACATAGTGATTTACCTCTATTTACATCAAAATGCAGGCAATGGCCCAGGCGTTCTTTGTAAAATTATTTACAAAACACTGTATAGTCTCACAAATGTCACTTTTTATTTATGCCACTACAAAAAAACATGATGTAAATGATGCATGATGTAAAACATGATGTAAAAAACTTGTGTAGATCCTCCTGTATGTCAGTCCATGTGTAATTTTTCCATAATTCTTTGTTTTTTGCAGCATTTTTGTTAGTGTAACTGCAGATTGTGCTGACAGTGTCTATGGCAAAAAAAAAAAAAAAAACTGAAAATGCCTCAACATGAACCCCTGGTGGTCTCTGAGGGTGAAACCTGCTAACTGCTGCAGCTCTGTCAGCTTCAGTCTCCCATGCAGAGCTCGGAGCGCATGTGTGGCTCTGCACCCTTAGCAGCGTTGCTAACTCCTCAGTAAGGAAAGCCTGCTTCATGTCAGAGTCTCTAAACTCCAGAAGAAGTCGATAAAAGTCACTTTCTTTCTAAAAAAAAGTCGTTAGGGGGTCTGAAAAGTCATTGAATCTAACAACAAAGTCGCTAGGTTTGCAACTACGTGTCCCAGACTGCATCCCTGCTGAGAGTCCCTCCCTCCCTTCTCATATTGCAGGAAGAACGTAAGTTCCCGCCCCTTGTCAATCAGTCACCATATAATTTTGGATTGGTTGTTGTGGTGAAGTTTTCCACCAATAGGAGAGATGTTGTGGTGTGTATTTTTTTTCCTTTGGCAAGCCTTTTCCGCCTGTAAGACCTGTCGCTAATGTCTGCATGCTATGTTTTCCTGTCTCATACAGCGCGATCGAGCGCCGAACGTGATCAAAATAAGCAGAAAACAAGTATCGCGGACATAATTTATCATAACTCTGGTTTTATTTGGCCTATCAACACAATTTAAAAACTGGTATATAGGTTGAGGTCCTCACTTTTGAGATAAATTGAAACGGAGAGTCAACGAGGCTCCGTCTTGCAGCTACATCCGGTTAAATATGTCATGTGACTTGAACGCACACACACACACACACACAGACACACACACACACGCACACACACACACTCAGAGTCTGGTTTGTAGCACCTGCAAAAACATGCTATTTACATATTTGACAAGAATGCAGAGGCTCCTTTTGCCCCTGAAAAAAATCAAATTTCAAACACAACTTGACTGGTCATTTCTCCAAAAGACAACCATGAAGCTCCATCCAAACCTGAAGCAGGCAGTTGGTGCATGTGTACAGTAACCTGAGGGGAGTGAGGTGACTGCTTCTGAGGAGAACATGAGCAGTGAAGATTTACCTTAGAGCTAGAACAGAGACGTGCACATGATTATACAGGGGCAGGGGCTCAAGTTTTTTCCAGTCGTTTATACAATTTGGAAATTAATGTGAAAATTAAAAAACAAAGTATTAATAGAAAGGTAATGACTGTCCTGTGTAGGTGACAGTGATATCCAATAGGCTAGGCACTCACGAGGCTGGCTGTGGCAAGTGTAAGTGAAAGCAACACGCACTGGCAGGAAGAACAGCAAACGCCGATGAAGGAAAAGGGTCTTTGCAGTGATGGGCGTTACCAAAGAGGGCGATGGCCAGAGGACACAAATGGGACGGGGAGGCAGCGCGTTGGGGGGGGGACGCGACACAGCTCGGGCCCGCCAGTGCCCCAACGGGGTCCTAGTTAGGGCCCGAGCGTAGCTGCTAAGCAGCTGCGAGAGCCCTCTTGTTCCTGTAGTTTCCTTCTTTTGTTATTATTATTATTATTATTATTTTTCCTCCCCTTTGAACTGGAAAATGGCCCACTTCCCACTGGCAAAAACTCATGAAATTTGGCAGGACGACCGGGCCTGGTGAAAAATTTGATATTCCGAAGTCGCCCAAACAAGAAAATGCAAAATGGCTCCATAGCGCCCCCTAAGGTGAAAATTCACACTATTCACTGTCACGCCTGTACGCTTTGTCAAAATGACACAAAAATTGACACACACATGTATCTCAATAAGATCTACAAAAAAGTCAGTGCGGGCGTATCTGTCAAATGTACGGTTAAAGGGTTATTTCGCATTTTTTGCCGATCCGCACACATTGGAATTTCGCTAACTCCTCCGAAGGCTTTCGTTCCACCGGCACCACATTTGCTCAGGCCAATCTACACCCCATGGCCATTAAAAGTTATTCAAATCATGACGCTGCACCCCACGGTTTAGGTTCTAGGGGGCGCCAAAGATAACCCTAAGATCCACATATTTAAAAGTCTTATAACTTTTTATTTTTGCCCTCACTGGCCTCCAAGTTTTCTAGGATGATGCAATGTCCAGCCATCAACACATTTGTGAAGGAATTTTTACTCCCCAAAAGAGCGCCCCCCCATGGCAGGAGAAAAAAGTCCATTTTTTCTTGTCCTCTAAGGTGAAAATACACATTGTTGAGTGTAACACCTGTACGCTTTGGCAAAATGACACAAAAATTGACACACACATGTATCTCAATAAGATCTACGAAAAAGTCAATGCGCACGTATCTGTTACATGTACGGTTAAAGGGTTATTCCGCATTTTTTGCCGATCCGCACACATTGGAATTTCGCTAACTCCTCCGAAGGCTTTCGTTCCACCGGCACCACATTTGCTCAGGCCAATCTACACCCCATGGCCATTAAAAGTTATTCAAATCATGACGCTGCACCCCACGGTTTAGGTTCTAGGGGGCGCCAAAGATAACCGTAAAATCCACATATTTAAAAGTCTTATAACTTTTTATTTTTGTCCCCACTGGCCTCCAAGTTTTCTAGGATGATGCAATGTCCAGCCATCAACACATTTGTGAAGGAATTTTTACTCCCCAAAAGAGCGCCCCCCATGGCAGGAGAAAAAAGTCCATTTTTTCTTGTCCACTAAGGTGAAAATACACATTGTTGAGTGCTACGCCTGTATGTTTTGTCGTATTGACACAAAATTTTACATACACGTGTATTTCAATAAGATCTTCGAAAAAGTCAATGGCCACGTATCTGTAAAATGTACGGTTAAAGGGTTATTTTGCATTTTTTGCAGATTCGCACACATTGGAATTTCGCTAACTCCTCCGAAGGCTTTTGTTCCACCGGCACCACATTTGCTCAGGCCAATCTACACCCCATGGCCATTAAAAGTTATTCAAATCATGACGCTGCACCCCACGGTTTAGGTTCTAGGGGGCGCCAAAGATAACCCTAAAATCCACATATTTAAAAGTCTTATAACTTTTTATTTTTGTCCTCACTGGCCTCCATGTTTTCTAGGATGATGCAATGTCCAGCCATCAACACATTTGTGAAGGAGTTTTTTCTCGTTAAAAGAGCGCCCCCCATGGCAGGAGAATAAAGTCAAGTTTTTCCTGTTCATCATTCAATGGCTCAAACGCACTGCTCTCTCGGCAAAAGCGAAAGGAGGAGCAACTTGCCATTTGGATATATCTTAGCTGTGTTTGTGCCCTCACTCATGGTCCAGACTTTTTTCAAATAGGACATGGAGTTTTTCTGCAGCGAGCGCTTTGGTAGAAACTGCGCCTCCCGTTCATTATAATGGTAAATGACCACAAACAAGTGCGCACACCATCTTTGGACCTTGAGTGTGACGCGATCGGGTGGGGGAGGCAGTCGCGCTGGGGGCGGCGTGACACAGCTCGGGCCCGCCAGTGCCCCAACGGGGCCCTAGTTTCTTCTTTTTCCTCCCCTTTGAACTGGAAAATGGCCCACTTCCCACTGGCGAAAACTCAGGAAATTTGGCAGGACGACCGGGCCTGGTGAAAAATTTGATATTCCGAAGTCGCCCAAACAAGAAAATGCAAAATGCCTCCATAGCGCCCCCTAAGGTGAAAATTCACACTATTGACTGTCACGCCTGTACGCTTTGTCAAAATGACACAAAAATTGACACACACATGTATCTCAATAAGATCTACAAAAAAGTCAGTGCGGGCGTATCTGTCAAATGTACGGTTAAAGGGTTATTTCGCATTTTTTGCCGATCCGCACACATTGGAATTTCGCTAACTCCTCCGAAGGCTTTCGTTCCACCGGCACCACATTTGCTCAGGCCAATCTACACCCCATGGCCATTAAAAGTTATTCAAATCATGACGCTGCACCCCACGGTTTAGGTTCTAGGGGGCGCCAAAGATAACCCTAAAATCCACATATTTAAAAGTCTTATAACTTTTTATTTTTGCCCTCACTGGCCTCCAAGTTTTCTAGGATGATGCAATGTCCAGCCATCAACACATTTGTGAAGGAATTTTTACTCCCCAAAAGAGCGCCCCCCCATGGCAGGAGAAAAAAGTCCATTTTTTTCTTGTCCCCTAAGGTGAAAATACACATTGTTGAGTGTCACGCCTGTACGCTTTGTCAAAATGACACAAAAATTGACACACACATGTATCTCAATAAGATCTACAAAAAAGTCCATGCGCGCGTATCTGTCTAATGTACGGTTAAAGGGTTATTCTGCATTTTTTGCCGATTCGCACACATTGGAATTTCGCTAACTCCTCCGAAGGCTTTCGTTCCACCGGCACCACATTTGCTCAGGCCAAATTACACCCCATGGCCATTAAAAGTTATTCAAATCATGACGCTGCACCCCACGGTTTACGTTCTAGGGGGCGCCAAAGATAACCCAAAAATCCACATTTTTAAAAGTCTTATAACTTTTTATTTTTGTCCTCACTGGCCTCCAAGTTTTCTAGGATGATGCAATGTCCAGCCATCAACACATTTGTGAAGGAATTTTTACTCCCCAAAAGAGCGCCCCCCCATGGCAGGAGAAAAAAGTCCATTTTTTCTTGACCCCTAAGGTGAAAATACACATTGTTGAGTGTCACGCCTTTACG